GCAGTTGGTGTGGGCAGCCAACAATTGGGCTGCGCTTTTGCATAGCACGCCGATGTTCATGGCGCCTGGTGAGGACGAACAGCGTGTGGCTGTGGGCAAGCTGATGCTGAGACTGTACGTGAAATTTGCAAGAGCTGCGCTGGACGATGGGAGGCGACTGTTCAGATGCCGCCCCAAGCTGCACCTTTTGGTGCATCTCACAGAAGATGTCCGCGCCAGCCACTTGAACCCATCCCATCTGTCCTGTTGGATGGACGAGGATGGAATTAAGCGGTACATGCGCCTGAAGAGGATGGTACATGTACGGACCGCATCTGTGCGGTGCTTGGAGAGATACAAACTTGGATTGCTCTCCAGGCTGAAGGACGCCTTGAAATGAAAAAAGGGTGGGCAGTGCTGCGAGCATGTTTGCCAGCCAGGGTGTGCACCGCTGCTGGTTTGATTTGCGCGTGTTTCTTTATATTTTTTTTGTAGGAATTAATGGCACCCTATATAAGGCTCAAGGTACCGCGTAGGATTTAATGGCACCCGCCTGAGGCTCAAGGTGTGTGACCATTCATTGTTATATGGAGAGCCAGCTAATGGCGTGAAAGTGCGTGATTGTTGGAACAAGAACGTGTATATATACATTATGCAGTTGGAAAGTGTTCGGACGAGGGTATGTACACAATGAACATGTACAAACCCATGTCTAGGTAGTGTAGAAACATGTCCAACAAAAACACCTGGTTCCGTCTTTGTAGGATCACCAAAAACATCCACCAAATAGTTCCACATATTGATGGTCTTGTCAATATTAGAACCAATCCGATGCCTGTGAGTCATAGTCTTGCAAAAAATCTTGATTGTCCGGGCCGGCTCAGGTCACAAGTCATCCGTGTTGACCCCTCTGGCGCATTTGGCAGCGCTGCTTAAAGTTCTGGAACTCCTCGAACTCCGCCCACGTGGCTGTCTCCTCGGCCGAGGTGGAGGACGCTGTCTTGTTTGTGTTCTGCTTTTTCGAGACTAGGTGACCGCAATCCAGACATGTGATCTGGGTCACAAAGGCATTGGAACCCCGCCTGCAGGTGCGAACATGGGTGCAGACTGGATCGACGGCTGCCACCATCGGGATCTGACTCTCGACCTCCCAGTCGGTGCCGGCCGACGTGGGCGATTCCTCGGAGGCTTGGTTCTTCGTTGGAGCCCAGTACGGTTGCTTCTCCAGCCACATGAAGAAGGCGCATCCGGTCGGCTTGTTCCAGTTGGCACAACGCCAAAACTGGCGTAGATAGTTTGGCCCCTCCTTCCTGGTGATGAGGATCGCGCTGGGCAATTGACAGCGGCGCTGTGGAATTTCTCCCGGCGGTGGTGTCATTGGGTTGACAACGGGCATCCCTTTCTTCGTGTTGCGGGGAGGTGTCTGAGGTGCCGCCTTGTTGTGGCGCCCTGATCCGCCGGAGATCACCGTGAATTCTGTCCAGCTCGGCCATCCTCCGCTCATTGAGCTGGTCGACAATCTGCTCGGTCCTGCAGATATATCCCAGTTAACCTGATCTTCCAGGATCTCGAGCTCCTGGGTCATCTGCCTGGCCCGATGACCCTTGAAACCCGGCATATAGGCACGCGAAGGGTCAGTGTGCGCAGCGTGGCTTGATGGATCAGGACCAGGATGCGTAGCATCATACGCCGCCAGCGGCTGATCGTGCCCTCCAGGTCCGTCTCGGGGCCCATGGCACGAGTTCGCTTGTTCCCCGAGGACTGCATCTGGGCAGATGTCAGAGGGCCGAGCGGAGAGATCTCGAGCGTGATCACCGGGTTCGCTGCTTTGAGCCAGCGTATTCAAGATCTCATGTTCACGCGTTGTTTGTACCTTCTCCATACCACGTTGGAGGTGTCGGAGCTCCGGGGAGAACTTGTTGAGTGGAACCCTGAGTGCACCAGTGGGGCCAAGATGTAATCTAGTCTTGCGATTGAACCGTTTGACAAACATGGACAGGCCCTTGCAACTCCAACGTAGTGCGACGCTCCAAAAGAAATGGCAACGACAACAAAAATGGGGCCTTACTGCTATGTGATTCTTGGAACACTGCCGGTCGGAGGATGCAACCGTTTGGTCGAAGGCTACTTGGAATGCATGCAACTTGTGATGTACAAGAAACACCATGTACACTGCAAAACTTGTGAACCTCCGGTAGCAATGCAATAGGCAATGTCTTTGGGTGTGCTTGTTGAAGCTGTTGCAACGTTTCCATGCCGATAGCTGATCGTTGACAACCCGTACCAACTGTTGTGCATGCCCGCTCATCAATGTCAAAACGCTGTAGCTGAGAACCAAGATGAGCATAGAAGGCCTCTAAACATTGTGTTCGTGAAGCAAGCTGACTGCGCTCCTTGTATGCACTTGCGGACGTGGGGTTCGCTTCACCGCTCGATTCGCTCGATCCAGAGCTGGAACTTCGGGCGCGCCAAGAAGCAATCGCCTTGGCCAGTGGATCACCTTCAAGGTGGTGTACTTCGTGACCTTTGAAGTCCTGAAACTCCAAGAAACCCATGAAAAGGGCCTCATTGGCATCAGTCTCAAGGAATTGCACTTCCTTGACCGAGCTCTTGCCCGGGCACTCTTTGCGCCAGTGCCCGATCTGCTTGCAGTTGCCGCAGCGGATCCTTTTCTTTCGTTCTTCTATCGAAACTCGATAGGTTCAAGGAACTGCAAAATAGCCTTTCCGGCTCACGGACCATGGTTGCCAGGATCTCCTTGGCCTCTTCTTCATCAAAAGTCTCTTCTTCCTCAGTCTCCACACCTAAGGATGCAGCTGCCGTCAACAGGACTTCATACTCAGAGTCCTCACCCTCATCGACGTCAGCCTCCATGTTGAAGACCTCATCAGTCGTCTCTGTCAAGAGAACCGATTTCTTGTCGCTATTCTTGGACAGATCTTTGATGCCGACAGTCTCATGAACTCGAAGCCATTCTTTCACATCCGTGACGTTCAAACTGCCTTTGCAGTAGTTCATCAAGAGCTTCACTTCTTGAGGGTCGAGCTGGAGGGCCATGATGAAGAGGAAGCCAAGGTACTCCGGTGGAAGCTTAACTCCGTGTTCCGAGACACGACGAACGGCCAGGTCCCGCCGAGCACAAAAATCCTTTTGTCCTTCTTGTTTACCACGCTTCATCTGGTAGGTGAGCTTACCCAAACAGTGCAACATATCTTCACGGGCATCATCACCATAGTATTCCCGTGTGTTCATCAGATCTAACAGGAGTTGACCATTGTTGACATCATTCAACCAGCTATCTTCCGTAGCTAGGTACTTGAAGTTGTCAAAAGCTGTACCAGTGAGGTTCTTGAGAAGGAATGGTCCTCGTGTCTTTGGTTTGGCCTTGGTGGTCGCTAACCATAGCCGGGCTCGGATGCGATAGTCCTTGAAGCTGGAGACTCCATCAAAACTTGGCCGTGTCAACGGCCTGGGGCCGTGCTTGCTGCCATGGATCGCTATTTCTATCCTCGTCGGGCTCGGTGAGTCCTGAGGGTCAAGACAATCCAGGTGGGGCTGCATATTCACGTCCTGGGTCATGCAAGGGCGACGACAGCGCAGATCCTTGAGGCATAGCGGAGTGCACATCGGAACTGGAACCAGGTCGATGAGATTGGGGCATCTTCCAAACCCAAGGGAGCAGGATCTAGAGCAGGTAATATTCTACGAATAAATCCTCACGGCTCTAGGAAACCAGGTAGCTCCGCTACCACTCTGTAAGAGTGATAGCGGGCTCAACGAATGATCGGTCCATGGCGGCTCATTTTCGACTGCCCTGAATGAATCTTGAGCCACGTTTGTGGCGGATGGTAGACAATCTGGTCCAACCGATGATCTCATTCACACAATATAATTTGTGTTCCTCTTTGTCAACGTATTTACTGTTTGGTTCATTTGCATGTTCAAACTCTTCTGGATGAGTTTGTTTTCTGACATTATCTTGATCATGTTGGGTTTTTTCACACCACTTGATATCATACAGTATTCACATAATGGGCAGTAAAATCGTTTTCTCTGGTGACTTTCCTTTTGCCCTTTCATTTGCTTCCTTACTCTTCTCTCGTTGGTAGTATTCTGTACTAGTGTAATATTTTCTTGATTGTTTGGCTCTACAACTGTCGCAGGTGTTCAATCCTTCAGTAAATCTATCTAATGTTCTGTTATTCTGGCACAAGATACTGTTTAGTAGTATCCATTACCTAGTACCCACTACTTCTTGAAATACGTTCTATACAATAAACATCAATATGTTTAAAATCGTCATTTACAACCCCATTTACATCTATGACAGTGAACAATGCAATTATCTAAGGTTGCTAATTTCATTATCCTTTGATTGAACTGTCAGATATGTTTGATGTCAGTTGTATGTGACAAATATGTCTCAATAATTTGTGTAAATGAGTATTTTTTTACAAAAAGGTCATATGTGTGTTATATATGTTGGTTCGATCATTTTACTATTTCATGCTTCGGGTTTCAGATGGTTTCAGGAAACTTTCCAAAGTTTGCAACGTTTTTGGGATTCAAGATTCAAGATTCTGGGGGAAACTGTTTGAATCCAAGCCCTGACTGACATCCAGAACCCCAAGATTCAAGGGCTTGGATTCAAGAAGTTTCCTCAAAAATAGTGAGTTTTGTAAAAACAGCAACTTTGCAAAATTGCAAAGTTGTTTATTCAACATTTGCTTGCACACCTTTTCGCCATACCCGTATACATACATATATGTGGCACCCACGCAATCCATCTAAAACTTCAACCAAAAAATGGCCTGAGATTGTGGAGAATTGCTGTAAACACCACTGAAAAGTTCAAAAACGTAGGGTTTGGGGGTACCATATATATATATATACACATAAAGTAAGCGGGTTACAGTGGAGAAGTTGGCTGCATGGCTGAGCGGGGCAGCATTCCTATTTCCCAAGTGTAACGACGGACAGCCACACTCACGTTCCGGTCGACCTCCATCCCCTTCACCAAGGAGAAGTTCCTCGAGCGGTACCAGGCCACCACTGCGGTTTCTACAAAATTGCGAAACACAACTACTAACTACTAGGAGCTTCTTATTACTAATACCAACAATGTTCCTAGTAGTAAGTTACTAGTAGCGATGCCCTTTGCTAGCTTATATATATATATAAATCAAGAAACGCACCCATAGCACTAAGACAAGATGGGCTATAAACCTGCCCTTTTTCTACTTCCACCTACCCTTGTGGGAGTTTGTTTGTGCCAAAGGGCAGAGGCAGGTTCCTTTGAATGGTATACAATAATAGGTGAAGTTTTAATGTTGCTTTTCAATTGGCGCAGCCGAGTCATATGGTTTTGCATACCTCCGATAATGCCGCTTCCAAACATTCGCAAGACCTTGCCTCACCTGACTGACAAGTTCGTACTGCAGCTCTTCATGATCCTCCCGTGTCTACTGTTTCTCCATCCAGAGAAGGTGTCTCAAGTATTTGATTGGTACTCGTACTACCCATGGACCTAGCGAATGCAATCCCAACAGGTTGACAATTTACTTATTTGTGTTTCTGCCAAGTCCATGGTCTATCCAATGTTCATAGGATTTGAGTGGGGCCCTGGGCGTGCTTTCCCTCTTATTTGCAAGATTGTTTGGATTCGCCCCCTCAGCCCTGTCCCATGTGAACATGCACTGGGGGTAGCAGCTGGACAGTCAATAAACTGTAATGCGGAATGATGCCGATCTAGCAGATTCGTCAACCATGGGCAACACTGTGGTCGTGTTCAGCATAACCACCTCAAGATATATTATCTACTATACAATTCGTTTATAACAAGACCTCAGAACCCTGTGACCAATCAGACTGTTGCTGGACCTTCTCCATCGGTCCTGTTTGGAACCTAGCGAGGGGTGGACCAATAACCCCAACAACGAGCCGGCTGGGGCCTTTGATCGGACGGATGTGGCTGTCGGTTTGTTATGGGTTTGGCATGTGGGGTATGGCTGGAAGGATGTGAGCTGAATATTGTTTTGGGTTGCATGAGCTTGGTCAAGAGAGTGCCATTTGCGACAGATGAATTTGGTGAGGGTAGGGGGATTAGGAGGAGGCTGTCTTGCAGAGGTTCACCTGCCTTTGTTGGGCTCACAAGCGCAACTATACACTGAACTCACTCTTTTGATGTAAAACACAGGAGAAGCGAAGTACATGCTTTACAGCAAGGATCATGCTCATATCTTTGGCAGCATAAGGCGGGGGTTGCCCTTTACTTCAATGATCGGGCCAAAGGTTTGTTTGCTATTCAGAACTAGAGACACTCTTTGATGTAGAAGATGATGAAGCGCCCATGTTGGGTACAAGCCAGTGATGGCTTCATCGAGAAGGATGAACCTTTACATATTGGTGGCCTGCTTCCCCCAGTATGGACTTGAGTACAGTGTCGGTCTGGTTTTCAACTGGCACAAGTACATGTCTTCATCCAGGGAGGAAGCTGTCACCCGCTCTCAGTCTCGGCAAGGAGGGATAATGATGAATATATACAAATATATACAGGAACTTCTTCACGATGGCCATTGTCAGGTGACTCAGCGCCTTTTTTTGTTCCTTACAAGTGTCCTCTTCGTGCTGTTGACAGATTGCTTTCAAACAGCTACGTGCAACACAGGTAAACAGCATCTTCGACTTTGTTGAAAAAGAATCCCACACATACAAGAACTTCATTTACAGCTGCAAAAGCAATTCGACACCACAACAACATCACCACCACCTGAGTCCAACACTGTGAGCTGCAGTTGAACTCCGACAGAGGTTTGTATGCCGGATGCTAACTCTCAGCCAGTGATCGATGGTGCTGGAACCGCATTTGCTGCGTGGATGAAATTAAGAGGTCCATGTTGGGGGGGCAAATGAGTGTGGAACCAACTGCAGTGTGTTCGCATTCTCGTTGCTTTATAATTAATTCATGTGTCCCAGTGCGAATTTCTAAAGACTGAAGAGAATAGTGGCTCAGCATCCTGATAGCAGAATGTCCAGCCTTGAGTTGTTGGACCAACCTGACAAAAATGTTCCGTTTTGATCAATCCCTTGCTGCGCTGAATCGCAGTTTCAGCTGAGGTCCCCTTCCAAGATGGCCACGTCTACGCAGTGCGGGATGCGCTTCTCGATTCACGTGAGTCACTAGTGACCAGTGCTCCAGTCCGGTGAGTCGAGTGTTTGCGTCAAGGGAGCTCTGGGGCTCTGTCCGACCAATTGGCCAATTTGCAGATGTGAAGTTGTTAAGCTATGTGAACCTCAATCAGCCATGCACCGGCAATTCCAAGGAATGGCGATGGCAAGATCTCGCCAGACGAGGTCCAGGCACAGTGGCGAGACCTGGGTGATGGGTGATGGGGTTGGAGTCCAACTCAGTTCAACTTGTACATTGATTTGTCAATTAACTTTTTACATTGATTCCTTGCATCACATGCGCCTAAGATCTTGTCTCTCTTTGTGGTCGGTTGTGGTTTCTCATCATGTTGAGACCTGTAGAGGAAGAACGGGGAGTGTCAGAGTAGAAAGACGTCTACCATCTACCCGTTCCTACTTTTTTGTTTGCTGCATGTTCTTCTTCGTATGGAGGTATTCACGAGGCTTCCGCCCTCCACTTCATCCCACAATCCTTCCAGGTCCTTTGTGTATCTCTTTGTATATATATATATAGTAACATTTCTTTAGTGCAACAAATTGACGGGCTACCCCAACCACACTAACCCTAGTGACTAGTGGGTTTGCCGAGAACTGTTTTGCTCCTATGACACGGCGCCAGCCTGTTTGATCAGATGGACACTGATACCGTAAATTCTTCAGGAGTCAGCTGTTGGGGAGTCTACACAAGTTTATGTCGAGTGGGTGTGCATCAGCTACTGTACTCTACACAAAAGCATGCGTTTCCTATGTCGAAACATCAGGAAACACAAGGCATGTCAAACTTGCATTGGATGCAAATACTCATTTCCAAGCCTTACAAGTTATAAGAAGGAAGCATGCGGCTTCTCATTCATGGCCAGCATTCTGATGAAAGCGCAGTTCACCCTGACCCCGGGTTTTCCAAGATGTCCAAAATGGCTGTAGCTTGGTCATCCATGTCAAGTGCGATCGGTGAAAGGACACTAAGGCTGCACACCTATGAGAACACGCTTGGCAATTTCGTTTCCAGTATCCCCAGTCCATCAAAACCCCATTTGTCTCAAGTCCCAGCTCTGCGCAGTCGCACCACGTGGGTGACGCCTTCCAAGCCTCTTTGGCAATGGCCCCGAAGATGTTGGTCGCTCTCGACTGCCAGGGCCGCCTCAAGGCGGTCGATGGAGAAAGGGTTGGTGGAGCACGTGGGTTGTCCGTCCGGAGGAAGTCGAAGACTCGAGGCTCAAGGCATGCATTATTTGAATTGACACGGACGCCTCAATCGGTGACATGAGGCTATATGGCGGATGTTTCTTCCAGCAGTCAGTCTTTACATTGGCATTCCTTGGATTGTTTGGGATCGCTGGATCATACTGGATCCGTAAAAGGAGATATCCCAGGTTTGACTACCTTGATCCGCAGGCAAGAAGGCTTACTAATCAAAAAATGTGTTTATGTTTTTTGTCCATATAGATAGGAAATAAGAAGAGGATGGAGCAAACCAAATCAACGAGGACACAGCCGTACATATGCTTTAAATTCTACACCAGAGACGTTGATGGCTTGGTTGCAGTTTCGCTCTATCTCCTTGAGCAGGTTCATGATCCACGCCCATATCTCCAGCTACATGCAAGAGTTTTGCCACTCCCTTGACACAAGAGCAAAAAGACTTTAACCATAAGAATTCGCCAAGGAGTTCTTGCTCTTGAGGCAAGACTCATTGTTCCAGTGTGTTCTTTGTCCAACACTGAGTTGACATTAATCCCCAGATCCTAATTGACGTGCAGGTCTTCAAGGACTGAGTCGGGGCTGCATCTTCAGCTTCGTCCTTAGCTCACCAGAAGCCGTGAGCTAGGTGCTCGGTGCCAGGTCTGTCTCTTCTAAAAATGGGATGGGCTTGGATCAAAAATTGATCAGCCGGATAGACTCGAGTGTTCTGGTCATGTTCAGGGGGTTGTGACCCACACAGAAAGATGTACAGTATTTGGCATGGTCAGCTCATTCAATTTGCCATGTTTGATCCAAACAACGAAAAGCACCAATCCGGAGCAACCTACCATTGTTTTGAATCCGTTTTACCTACAGTAAAATGTTGATTTTTTGGGAGTTATGATTTGTTTCTGTTTTGTGAAAGGCTTATTTCTGTTTCTGTTTTGTTAGATTACTGTTAGAATTTGTTATATAGATGTATTCTTGCTAACACATTGATTATATTATGCGGAGCTTGATATCTTACTTTTGTGTGGATTTGGCACCGTATGGTTGATAGTTTACTATATATCTTTTCCTCTCCAGGCGTGCGGTGGCCAGCTGTGAAGACATGTGTGGCACTGAGATTGAGCCGTAGGACACCACCGCACCTAGTGGCGTGGAGATGAAGGTCCAATCTGGAAAGTCTCTTCTGGATGGCTCGATGACTTGGGAGATGCTTGGGGAGCTGTCACAAAGTTGTCGCTGGTGGCCGTTTGGGTTCAGCTTATCACGAAGATCGAACCAAGTGTCATGGACCTTGCGACATGCAGCGGGCCCATTTATATCGGAAAGAGACAAGTCAGACAAGTTGTGTCACTTGTCATGCACAGGCACATGCATACTTGCAACCCCTTGTAAGAATTCTGGAAGAACTCGAGGCACACATCCAAAAGATATGCAAAGACTGTCCAACCTTTAGGTTCACAAGCAACCGAGCTGGCTTTGAGACTCATGACAAGATGGCGAAGGGCTATGTGGCTCCGATGAAGGACTGCTCAAGTAGTCAGCTAGCATGTAAGGCGCTTGGCGAAGACAAGGTGTTTTTTTGATCGTGGCTTCTTCAACAAAACGAAGAGGAGTCGCTGTTTGTTCTTCTTTTGAGTTGTCTCTTTATCGATAAGCGAAGGGTCTAGCAAGAAGGATAGCGGATTGGCCCACAAGATACCACTGAGCCACAAGGAGATCCTGCCAAAGAAGGCTGAATGCCTGAGCACCCAGGTTTGTCCTGGTTCCAGATCTGCTGTGGCTGACAACACGAGATGCTTTTCTTCCAATCCCCCCAAACTCAACCCCAACCCGAAACGGATTTTAGAAGAAAACAGACACAACAAATGAGGAAGAGTAACGGCAATAGGTTTCACTCACGTGCTTTGCTGCTCTTAATCAATGCCAGACGCTGACGACCCGAGTGGTCCTTCAGTCGATGTAGCGACCCAAGGTCCCGAACCTAGCACCTCGTTGAGTTTCCTGCAGCAGCTGGGAGATGAGAAGATCACTCCAGAACAGGCCTTGGTCGGAACGGCTGAACATTGTTGACAAGAGACAAATCGGTAAGACAAAAGAAGCCAATGTTTTGGGCTTGACCTAGGAAATCATAGGCTCAAAAATATATTTATGCAGCTCACAACAGTCACTCCATCAAACAAAAAGATTTTGGCCGACCCGCAAAGCAGAAGGAGTTGGAGATTTGTGAACAACTACGGCGAGCAGCGCTCTCGAGTCAGGACGGTGGAGACTGTTCTTCCAACCAACCTAATAGCAATGGCCTCCAACCTAATAGCGATGGCCTCCAGCCTAATAGCAATGCTCTTGATTGTGATTCTTTTCACTTCGGGAACAAACTGAGTGGAGCCTCATGACCTCACCAGGCCGCGTTACTGGTGAAGCACCAAGCCGTGGCAAGACTGCTGGATGCTGCCGCCAAGATGGGCGAAGCACGTGACGGGTTGCGGAAGGCAGAAGCAGAACTGGGGTGGGGCAGAAGTTGTGTTTTGTTACGTTGTATGTCTGGAATGACATGACATGTGTTCGAAAACAATCTAGCCTGGCTTTTTCTAATGTCTTTAGGACCTGTGTTCATAGATGGTTTCCGCACTCGTTCTGTTCCCTTCACGCGTGCAGCATGTCCACTTCGTGACATTCCTCGTTGGTCCAAGGCGGCTCTGCAATGCCTTTGTTGTTTGGCAGCTGGCCGAGAGCTGGACGACGAGGCAGTCCATGTGATCAAAGCATTTGTCAACTGAGCTTTTATTGGAAGCCTTTTCAAATTGATAAAACGACACGCTACTATTACTACTGTACATTTGGTTGCATGGTCATGGACCCCAGATAGCACACTGAAAGCCCTTTCTCTACAACGAATCACGTTTCGGTCTTCTCCCTTCACTTGCTCGCGGAGGATGGCAAGGAACACTCGATTCGTCCCAGCGCTGCTGATGCAAGGCGTGGATGGATTGGGAGATTTGTTGTCAGACGAACCAAATCTACAAATAAATACATCCAAAAGGTCCAAAAGCATATAAACTCATCGAACCATCCAAAGGCCCTACAAGACCACCAAGAAACCCTACGGAACAATACCCCAAACAAATTCTAAAGCACCACAAGACAGATTGTACGGCCAAGACCAAACAAAAAAATGAACACGTCCAAAAGAAAGACCCCAACAAATCCACCAAACCGTGGCAAGCTGCGCCTGACCGCCTGGCAAGGCAACAGCTGCGAAGCGCCCTGGAGCCGACCTTCCTGAAGAAGTTGGGACAGCTTTGCAAAGACCACGCAGGAGCCAAGTGTAGAGCCAAGGGGCTGTTGTGTAGAGCAAATATAGAAAGCCAGACAAACTAGATTGAGCTTCCGAATATGGTTGAATGACTGTTCTGACAGACAAACCTCTTGCGTTTGATTTGCTTCGCCACTCAAGGATCTTTGAGTCAGCTGGCGCACCTGCTTGGCTACTGCCACTTAGACTTGCTGTCGTGCGACTTGCTGTTGTGTTTGCAGCAAGGAGAACCGAATTTCCTCGAATTGTTCTTTTGCATGTAATTTCTAGTTTGACTCCTGGTCTTCAACGCACTTCGCTCGAGGTCAGGAGATCGAAGACACTGAAGCCTTGGCCGTGCTCCACCGGGCCTTGGAGTCTCAAGAGGACCTTTTGGCGTTTTTGGGCGTTTGGACTTGTTGAACTACAAGGGTCGTGTTTCTGTTTGCACAGTGTGGCTGTATTTTGCTGAAGCCGAATGAGATGCTACGTTATGTTTGTGGTTCTTGATGTGCTGAAGTAGAGGAAGTGCAGCGAGCTGGATTGGTGGATGCCTTAGGCTCTTGCCATTTGAATCACTTGGAGAGTGTCCTTCGAGCACGTTTAATATCTTTTAATCATCATCCTCGTTCTTCTCCCAGCCTCAGACTTCTTTGGACTTACATGATGATGATGGTACATTCCAAAGCCACTAGAAGTTTGTCACGAACGGCTATATTGTATACTGCCCTTGTATATCCTGTAAACAAAACTCTTGATTTCACCAAGAAACGGAGCACGCTGTTAACTGCCCTGTTCTTTTGTCCAAGGCGGCTTTGACTGCCATCTGCGACAATCGACGGCGCCTCGGGGCTCAAGGTGCTTCGGGCACCCTGCGGGCACTTCGGGAAGACGGGAGTCAGAGAACTCATGAGAACTCCTTACTCTTTAGATCTCAGATCTCGTTTACAAGTTTGGAAGGGAAATGCTTCTTGTCTTCCTTGTGTCGTTGCTGTAATTGTTCCTGCTGCTTTTGGTGTTGCTGCTGTTGTGGTTGTGGTTATTGGTTGTTGCACCAGATGTCTTCTTCGTTTTGTAAAGAAAGAATGGCGTTTCTCAACAGCTAAAACTTGGGGTCTCGAGCCATAGTTTTTAGAGGTTCGCAAGAAGATTTGCCAAAAGAGGTTCCCAACAGGTTCCGAGACGCATTCAACCGACTCGCAAGTCCGTCCAGAAACATGTCCAAATGCATCCAAATGCAATTTTGAAGTTTGCAGAATGGAGCAATGTGTGGAGCAGGTTCCAGCGAAGGTTTGGGAGGAGTTGAGCTTTTCATGAAAACTACGCCAAAAGGCTTAAACTGGAGACTCCAGACCTGAGCTTCTGAAAGGGTCGGTAGATTGCATGAGAGGTTTTAGGAACACGATGCATGTTGAAAAGGTATTCGGCACTGAGGGCTTATCTTCACTTCACGCGCTTTGCGGAGGTGCAGCGGTGGTGCCAAGCCAAAGCCTCCTGAAGTGTTTGGAGGCGGCGCTCCACAGCAGCCACCAGGAGTTGGTGCAAGCGCTCCTTGCGGAGGTCGGTGGGTGTGTTTAGATGGCTGAATGAGTTTGGCGTCGTGTGTGTGTGTGTGTGGGGCTTATTACTTAAGGTGAGGTTGCAAGGTGTCATGTCATTGTATTTGTTCAAACCAGGGAGGGTACAGGGTGTTCGACAGTTTGACAGCAAGAGTGACTACTCTTTCTAGGCCTCGAACAGATTTTCGGTCTGTCTTCATGGCGAAGATTCAGATGTGTGAACGACATAAATTTCAAGGAGCTGCCAAAGACAATAGCTGTCTCTCACATTGACTTGGCTGTCAAGAAAAACTTACCACAACGAACTTGTGATGTTAAACACTACTTGCAAACATAGTTTTCCTGGACATTCTTACTTCGATGCCTCAGGTCTTCGCACTTTTTGCTGATGATGAGGACCGGCCACAGAACATGCAGGTGAGGCAACGAAGACGGTTGCCAGTGACTGCTAGGTCATCTGAGTCGAAAGTGTGTTCAGAACATCTTCCAAAACACTCCACTGAGTTGTTTGAATTCTTTGCCAAAACACTGAAATTTGTGTGTCCAAAGTTGTTTCCGAAATGCCTTGCTCCGCCGTTTCAAGGTCGATTTGCCAGAGCTGGGTCTTCGAATCTTGGAGCCTTTCTTGCAGTCTGAGGCGGGACGATCACATGCATTTGGCAAAATGTTGAATTCACGGATTCAATATTCGGCCGCTGTTTCGCCACGGTCCTTTCAGCTTGTTGCCCCGGCCAGGAACCGCTGCTTCGCTGCAATGGTTTGGCAGGGCTCAGCTGTTTGCTTGCCGCCAAAGCCAAGGACATCACCATGACGAAACTCTGTTTGCAAGACCACATTGAAAGGCATCTAACAGCAACACCAGCTGGAGAAGCACACGTAAAAAAAGGATCCGTTGAAAACCTACCAGAACTGGACTGCAAGATACTGCAAGACTGTGAGTTAATGAGAAAACAAAAGCCATACCTTTAAAGAGCAACGGATAGTTCCTGGCAACTCGATGCATCCACCTGGGACAGGCAGCCAAAGTACTGCAACTCTCTGCAGCGCCGCTGACTGCGATGTTGAAAGCGCTTGGAGAGCCAGGTAGCAGCTGGGAGGTCAAGTATTCTTTTGGGTCGGATGGAGCATCTTGTCACTTTGGCTAGATAGATTCGATCTTGTTTCTACTAGCTTCTTGTTACTACTAGTAAGGCACTTGTTACTGTACTAGAAGCGATGCACTTGTTCCTAGTAGCTTATTGTTTCTAATTAATTCGACAAAGTTCAATCTTGTCACTACATTCTTTGGAGTTTGAATGTGACCAGTGAGAGCATAACTCGACAGATTTGTCTTCCCCCGTGTTTCGCTTTGAGCATCTTTCGGCCAGGCGAAGGCCGTGCCCAGGAGCATGCGGCCGAGGCGCTGATTCTGGCGGCCTCCGATGTGTCGACACGGCAGCGGTGGATCGAGGGGGAAGGCTCGTTTGAGGGTTTTAGTTGTTGGCTTTTGGAGCAAGAGAGAAGAAACTGAAGCTGATGTTTGGGATTGTTTGGGTGCGTTTGGGCATCAGAACAGAGATCCACGATGAGCCAGCTATGTGCCTCAGGCGCCCGGCCCCGTGAGGCATCGAAGTGATTTTGAACGCTCTCAGCGAGGAGAGGGGGAAGGATCGGAGCTTCGTGGATGCCAAGCTGGTGACTGAGATGCAGTTTAGAAGAGTCAAGTGTGTGCAGAAAATGCTGCCGGCAACCTATATATATAGGTATATTGATGTCAATAGAACGGTCGATGTGCATTCGGAACTGTTCAACACATACAATATACGACACGTATGTTGTGATTTCATGTTATTTCCTGCCACCACCCGAACACCAGGTGGCGGTGTTGGCAATCATGGCGGCCCACGAGAAGTCTGTCCGGGATGAAGTCTTTGACCGGGTGGACTTCATGATGGAGCTGCGTTTCGCCATGGAGATGGCCATGAAACGCCTCTCGCTTTGTGGAAGTTTGGGTGAAAGTCGGGTGTTCTTGCAATAAAAGTGAACATGGGGTCTTCTCCTTTTTTTGGCAGCAATGATGTTGGGAGAGGAAGCAACACAGTTGTACAGGTGTACTTCTTTTCTTTCGAAGGAAAGACAAGAGAGAACAGATTTGAAGGAACATTGGCAGCTCCAACCGAGCATTCCTCTCGAGGCACCATGGCCGCCAACGGCCCAGAGGAGAAGCGCCAGGCAGCTGGTCGGGGGGTTCGATCAACGTTACCAGACATTCTTCAAATCTATCATGGCGTATTTGATAGTAGTTTCCCGCCCTTTTTTTGTCATATATGATTTCAACCTAGAGACAGTAGGAGGTCACAATTTTTTGCCAGACGTCCTTTCATGACACCAGAGAAGATGCACGTTCAGGCAAGACGTTTGTGCTGTGCACTCCTGGAGAGCTTTGCCATGCTTTCGATCCATGGAGAATTCAAGGAGAGCCGAACACAGTACAACGTTCGTTCTTTTTGGACTTTCGATGTCTGGTTTTTCACAATCACAATCCCACATGATGAGCCCGCTATGACAACTCACGAGACTGCTGCGGAACCGCACAGCAAGCGCCAGCATCAAAGCAAGCGGCTCTGAGCCTCCTAGCACTTGAACCACCTGCTAAGCACTATGAAACATATGACAGAACTTAGACTTCGAAACCGATAGAAGCCATGGTTGGAGGTTGTTGGTTGGAGGTTGGAAGATCCATTATCATCCTACTCCACCTTCATCGAACCATGCAATTGTGGCAGGCATGGGCAAAACCCAAACCAAACACAGAAATTGCAGGTAACAACTCCTGCCCAGCCCCCCACACAGTAAACTCAGCGAGTTGCTTTTTTCACTGTCTTTTTTCCACTCTTTTGAAGAATCGGCATCTTTGTGCACAACCCGTACTCGGAGGAGCTTCTGTCAAAGTCCAAGAAGACCTTGGTGGCGCTCCAAGATTTGGCCAAGGAGGAGGACATGCCTGGCATGCTTATGGTTGCTCTTTTCTTCCTTATGTTCCTTTTTATTGTTTCCCATTCTTAGCATCTTTAGGTGATGTTGGCGCTTTAGGGCTGTGGAGGGTTTTCAAAACGCTGCTTGGAGCACATGTGGGCACGTCAAGTCATCTCAAGGAAGGGGAGAGGTGGTTTTCTCCGTATGATACGGCGCATAGTATCTATGATACCCGGGAAGTGTTGCGAAAATGAATGAAACAGTCGTAAGCAGTACAAGCTTGCTTTCAATTTGATCCTTCATTGTGTTTTTGTTGAGTAGCCATCATTTTGCTGTAGGACTTCGAGGACAAAGCCCTGAGCTTCTTCTACGCCATGCTGATTCACAACCTTTGTAGGTGCCAAATATGAAGTTCCGTTTATGATAGCCTTCCAAATATAGTGAGAAAGCACTTTCTTCTCAGGCGTCAACAACCTAAGCATGCTAAACAAAGGCTGCTAAGCGAGGCTGTTGTTTACATAAGCATCCTGCAAAGCTTCCTATTTCCTACTGCATTGCTTCTCAACTTGAGGGGCCCTGCAGTCTGTGAAAGGCTATCTTGCACTGGTGCTGTCCTACTGCCAGGTCACGCGAGGACAAGCAGAGGATCAAGACGGGCAATGCGATGATTGACGATTTGAGTGCCGATGACTTCAAGGTCCCTTGACGACCGTGTCATCGTGTTGTTTACTGTAATTTGCTTTTCTAAAAGCAATTTAATTTGAGCATATAGATAGGGTGAACATCCGGAACATAGGTGTTTACATCATGCACACCGATTTACAAAGAAGAACTCCATGGTTTTCTCCCTTGGTTTTACAACGTACACCGATCGTTCTCAGCGCATAAAGCGAACGAGGCGCTGGAGGAGTTCTACGAACGCATGCCGGCCGAAGCCAGGCAATGTGGTGGTGAAGTTGGCTTTGGTGTTTTCAATCGGATGGTGAACAATAAATGAACAAAAACAAAGATGAATAAACGTGGTGCTTGTTAGGCAAGGCTCATTTGAAGTGTCATTGGAAAGGATGGCTGGTATACCCGAAACTGGGCGCCGTTTAGAGTTTACAGCTTTCCTACATTTCCAGGGAAGCGAGAGCATTGTTGAGAAGAACTCTATCTCGACTCTCGAACAAACTTCGTTGGGAGCGTTGACGCCAAAAACAAGAAGGGCTTTTGCTTGGTGAGGCCCCAACGGAACGGCGAAGTGGATGCAGGGGACAAAGCTTTGGCACAGAAGATGAGGGCCTGGTGCCTTCAACGAAAAGGTCAAAACCTGAGTTTTGTGTTCGCCAATTTGTCAATGGCAAGAAAATCACTTCAAGCGGGACATCTACATGTGTTTTTGTAAGCAAAATCCAGTGAGTGGAGAGTATGAGCAGCAGGAGCAGGAGGAGTGGGAGCAGCAGCAGCAGCAGTAGTCGTAGTCTTAGTCTTAGTCTTAGTCTTATTAGGTTGCATTTGATGGGAGCCTTGATTAACCTTGTGATCGGTATTGTCCATAGGTTTTGTTGATCAAGAACCATGATGACTTCCATGTAAGACATCCATCGCCAAGCACATGTCATTTTCGAGGTCATCATGAAAACAAGAACTTGCTATGAACCAATGCATCTTTTCACAATTTCTGGATTTTACATGTGCATAATTCAATCTTTTTAGTTTTAGTTTGGATCCATGATGCCATGTGATTACTATGGTCTTGTGGCAGTCCGCGCAGCGCTTGTACTGCCTAGGGCAGGCCTTTCAGACTGAGTGTGCAGCAGAAGGCTGCCAATCAGTGGCAGAGCGCGTCAACGAGTTTCTGGCATTTTTGGACCATGAGTTTGACATTTCCAACACAAGTGCTGGCATGAAAGAGGCCACTGGAAAGCCCATGAGCTCTTTACAGGCACAGTTGAAATACCAGAAAAGAAGACGGCGTGAGGCTGAACATGCACTGGAACAAGACATGAATCCGCGGCAAGGGCTTCGCATCACATCACTGTGGTGGGTTCGCGCAGGGCTTGCAGATCCTGGTGTGCCAGCTGAATCCTAACTTTCCTGCCAAAGACAGACCTGACGTATCCATGAGCAGGACGAGTGTCACCAGAGCACGTGATTGCTTTGCTGAGCTGTTGAAGCGCTTCTCCAAAGACAGTGTTATTGAAGCTGCTTCTTCTCTGAAGAAACATGGTCATGGGCCTGAATCCAGATCCAAAGCTGTCCTCCTGGTCCAGGTACACGACGAAGCGGCCATGCGAGTTAGATCTTTTGTGGGAAGTCAAAGTCAGACTGTTTTGCGGGGGGCAAGGTCTCGGTACTCTAGTGTTCAGAACCAAGTGGTCATTGTACACGCTGCAGGCAGAGGAATGGATTTTGCAACAGAGCTGGTTGGTTTGGGTCGCAAGAATGCAGCTTCCATTGCACAGGCTGTTTTGACTACAACTTTGGAAGTCATAGGAGCTCTTCTGGAGGGGCTTGCTTTGCAGCGTGAGAAACGCGCTAGACTTCGCTTAGTGCACATATTGACTGCCGATGGAGCTCCGGTGAATGAAGCGGCGGCAAAGAAGGTGCTTGCCTGTATGGGGCGCTACCGACCAGCAGAGATTTCCTATTCCGTGTTGGCTTTCAAGTGCAGCGCGCATCAAGCAAATTTGACAGTGCAGACAGCAATTTGTGGGAGGCCAATGGCAAACCCTTAGAGGAACAACCCAGTGGTGGGCACTTGTATCCGTTTGTTTCGTTATGTCATTGACCAATACCCTGGCGAGTTTTGTGAAAACTTGAGGAAGCATTTGGAAAGTACTTTGCAGGTGCTGCCACATGATTCTGAGTTGGTTGCCGGGAGCAGGACGGATTCACTTTTGCAGCTCTATGGTTCTGCAGTTTTTCCTGACGACTTGGTGCATCTTCTGAATGTTTGCATTTCAAAGCTGCAACACAAATGTGTGGCCAATGAGGACATGCAAAGCATTCGATCGACGGCTTCGCAAATAATTTGTCGGAGCCTTCTTTTGGTTGATGAAAAGCCTGTGCAAACTAGGTTCTTCACTTTTGCTGAATGTGTATTTGCTCTTTTCCGGATGGATTTCCTGAATCTGCGGCCTGATGTATGGATGACGCTGCATAGTGTCAGGCCACAAAGAGAAAATAGCAAGCGAATGAGCAGGGTCTCCAGATTCTTCGAATCGCCCAGCATGAAATCGGATATCAGGCAGGCTGCGCTTTGCTTGCGGCTCACGAGCCACGCAACCCCTGTGTGTTCCCAAGGCGGGAAGGAGGGGCGCTTGCCACTTGTTGTGCGGCTTGCGCAAGGAGAGGTTCAAAGAAAGGCTTCAGCTGATTTACAGTCTATTGTGCCTTTGCTGCACTGCGACCCTGACATACATTTAACGCAGACATTCCTTGCACTGATGACAACAGCTGGGCATCTCATCATGAGATTCTCTATATATTTGCAATATCCTGCCAAAATCTGGACTTTGTTGAAGAAATACAATCCGCACTCTTTCCGCTCGGCTGCGCTTGATTTCCTGCAAGAACTGGCCAATCAACTGGATGCCGGGTATTCTCTGCCTTTGCAACAAGAGGCGTTGAGCAAGGTTTCCAATACTGAGCAGGTTGCATTCTTGGCGCAACCACATATTCAGCATGAGGTGGACCAAATTCTGGAGCGTGCTGTGAACAACCTGGATGTTGAAAGAAAACATTGGCAGGATAAGCGGAGCGAGACCGGGGCTGGCAAGGTGGCTTCTTTGAGCAGATGCTCGAGGAATTCTTTGATTCGAAAGTATCGGGTTATGCGGGCGCATGCCAAACACCGCAAATCAAAGCACTACAAGCAAGCTCAGAAGGATCGATTTGCCAATGCGCGGAGCATTGCTGTGGAGGGCAACCCTGACTGGTTACCACGGCCACGTGGCGCCCTACATTGGGAAAAGGGCATTTCAGCAGCCTGCCGGAGTCAGACTACACATGAGGGCAAGTCGGAGGCATTAAACGAATACATGGACCTGCACAGGGACGAATTGCGTGAAACTGCTTGTCAACGCCGTGAGGCGGCCAAGAAAGTGCTTCAGTTGGGCAAGCGTTCGTTTTTTCCTTTGAGCGCAGCAGAATGGCTGGAGTGGATTGGTGACAACGAAGATTTTTACCAGGAAACGCTACGCACAGCCACGGAAACCCGGCGGGACTATTCTCGACGGCCCACGCTTGTCTGAGCTGCCTCCTTTTGCCGACCACTTTACCCAACTGAAGAAAGTTCACCAGGACTTGGTTCCACCCCTGGCAGAGGCCATTGTGCGATTGTCTGCTCACCCAGTGACTTCTGAGACAGACCTGGAGTGCCCAGCTTTGAGCATGAGCCAACAGCACAGGTTCTACAAGTCAGAACTTTACAAGACTTGGATGTGCCAGAAAGTCGCAGGCCGGATTGAGACAGTCCAGGCCAACCATGACGCTCCAAACGCAACTCGCTCAGCCAGTGTCCGGGAGTTGCTGAAACATGAAGTGACCGAAGAACAGAAAACTGCTTTGGAATTTGCTCAGACCATGCTCTCCGGGCTGGAGCCAGCAGAAGAAAACAGCTACTTGCTTGAGGGTGGCTCTCCTCGGTTCGTGCTTTTGGTCAAGTGGTTTGGCTTGAATGATCCGCGCCTGTACTTAGAGGGCTTGATCAAGGCAAAGTTCACTAGCCCCAACGCCGGCCACTTCATGAAGATGGTGGACATCGCTTCTCGCAATGTGGAAGCCATCCCAAATGTCACAGTGAAAGGTCTCCTTAGAGACTACGCGAAGCTTCAGGAGTGAAGTTTAAAGTTGTGTCCAAACACCTTTTTTACATGTTGGTGGTAGAATAGCACACCGGAAAAAAGTATGCTTCTGCGCCTAGAGGAATTGTGGCCAGAGCACGCTCGAGACATCTTGTTGGAGCTCGCGGCCTGTAAGCTGGGCGTGTGGCAGGTGTGCAATGGCGCAGTGCCTCTGGACAAGTGTCCAGACTCCACTCTTAAAGGCGCGTGTCTGGAAAACATTCCTTTTACCCTTAGCTCTGCTAAGTATTGAACTGAAAGCCTGTTGGATTTTTCCATGAGGTCTCAGAAGGACGGAATCTATGAAGGACGGAATCTATTTTTAAGACCTCTAAGATGATTGATCCCATGTTTGGTGGAGCTGGAGAGATAGAATTCATAGAATGTTCTCTTGGTAAGAATAAGAATTCCACTTCGCATCAGGTTTGTGCAAAGTGGTTCTTGGGTCTATGCGGAAGGTGCCAGAGAGCAAGAAGAGTGAGGCTCCGACTCTTGTTGCTTTGCTTGAGAAAGCTGAGGCTTTTGCAGATGAGGCCAAGAGAAATGTTGATGCCGAGTCTTCGGCTGGCAAGGGCAAGGCGAACGCAGGTGAACCATCGGAGAGTGAGCCACCTTTCAAAGTTGGGCAAGCTGTTGTGCTACATGCCAAGAAGGAGAAGGACAAGTTCGACAACAAAAAGTGTGAGGTCAAGAAGGTTCTTTCTCAGAAGGTGACCGTCGAGATCAAAGAAGGGCCAGCCATCGGTGAACTCAAGAAAGTTCCATTTGCATCGGTGACTCTTTGTGCAGAATCGCAGACAGCGACAGCTTCAGAGCCTAAGGTTCCTGAGGAGCGTGCTGCGAACGAGAAGCTTGCGTCGCAGCTTTTTGGCGATGTGCAGGAGGACATGTAAGCGACGTCCGATGCCCGAGCTTGAAAAGAATTAGTTGCGAGCTTCCTGGAGGGCGGGAGGGTGCCTGTGCGTGGCCTCACCTAGGCCCTTTTCTAACAAATCCAAAATCAACCAACAGGTAAAGCCACTGATGAGGTCCCTGCTGAGGCTTGAAAGGCCCTTCTGGCGCGGTAATGAGCGTTAATTAGCGGTAATACACATTAAGCTATAGGATAGAAAGGGCTCCCGCGCCTTGCGTCCTAAGTCTTACTCGTAGTCGTAGTCGTAGTAGTCGTCGTCGTCGTAGTCGTAGTAGTAGTAGGAGTAGGAGTAGGAGTAGGAGTAGTAGTAGTAGTAGTAGTCGTAGTCGTAGTGGTAGTGGTAGTGGTAGTGGTAGTGGCAGTAGTGGGAGCAGCAGCAGCAGCAGTAGAAGTAGTGGTAGTCGTCGTAGTCGTATCGCGTACCTAACAGCCAGAACAAGTGTGGCCACTTGTTTGTTCATAGTCTGGGAGAAGGAGTAGAGTAGTCGTACAACATGTTTGCTTACCATGCTATATCACTATTGCAGATTGTTCCTAGTAGCGTCCTTGCTCCTAGTAGTACGGCCAGGAGCCCCTGGTAGCGTCCTTGCTCCTAGTAGCGATGCCAGGAGCCCCTAGTAGCTTCTTGTTCCTAGTAGCGTCATGCTATATCACTATTGTGGATTGCTAGAGCTTGCAGCTTACCATGAAAGGTGACTCCGGCCCCGCGCCCGTGGTGTTGAAGCTCTGCCGCGCAGCGTCGAACGGCTCGGTGCAGAGCAAGGCCGGACGTTATTTTACTTTTCAAAAGGTTCAGATATGTTCTTGTTGATGTTTGCTCTAGTTTTTCTTTAGCATGTTTCCAGCTTGCGGGCTTTGTCGTTCTTCTAGATGTTTTCTTGCTGTCCTACTTCTTTCTTACTCATGCTCCATGTTTAAACTGCGGTCTTATCTTGAACAGTTGCATGAGTCTTTGTTGAAAGCTTCGAAACGGACAAATAAAGCCAAACAAAAAGACACAGGAGTGTGGAAGAGATTGTAAGAGTATATATAATCCGTTTCCCAAATCTTAGTCAAAATCCATTCTAGGTCTTGGCAGCCGAGTCCCTGCGGCTGCTGTGTCAAGATCAAAGCCACCGGTGCCTTGGGACAGAAGCACGTGGACTTGTTGAGTAAAACTTAAGTATTAAAAAAAATTAACGCAAAAATCACTTTGTTCATCACTTTCTCACTTCCGCAAGGAAGTTTGTGGCGGCAAGTGGCGGCTTGCGCACGCTGCTGGAGCTCGCTGAGGAACCCAAAGCCATGGAGCCGGCGAGGCGGAGAGCTGTGAGACAACCGAACCGAACTGTGGGGTCCTGGGACTGCTAATGGCTTAGCATGGCTTGGTCAAGTCTTTGTTCAGACCCTTGGTAAGTGTAGATTCGCGTAGCTGTCCTTTGTTGTATGCCTTTTGCGTCGATAGTTGATTGGTAAAATCTAGTGGAGGCAAGCTTTGGCGCAGATCCTCATCAGCACCAACCCCATGCTTCTGCAGTGACTTGACTGCAAAGAGAAACCAAAGTGGGGGTGCTTTTGAACAAAGTGGAAGTGAAGAGTTTCTCTTTGGAGTACCGCGTCCGGGCTCCGAGAACACACTCCATCAACCCAGGTACCACGAGCAGCTCAATGCAGTGAGGCCCTTGAAGTGGGGGCTTCTATAAATGAGCTGAGCTACTTTGCTTGACAGTTACTATGCCGGGCTTCAAACAAGATACTGTATGCTTCTTTCTTGATCTGTCTTAGCTGTTTTATGTTGAGTTGCCTTTCCTTGGTCAATGTTTCACACTAAGCGGCTTAATGAATCGGGCCAAGACCCAGCGCAACGACCAGGCCGCTCCTGCAGATGTTCTCCTCTTCCAATGAGCTCTACCAGTTCGAAGGCGTGGACCAACAGAGTATCGATGTACCACGACAGACCCTGTGCAGGAAATCATAGCAAGCCCTTTGTTGTAAAGAGTTGAAACCAAAAAAACTACTGTAAGAATGAGCAAGAATGTCATCCACAGATCCACCAAAAGAAAGGTGCCCAAGAGAACACATGGGGAGAGAAGTTGACAGCATCATCCAGGTGCCATGGCTTTCACGAATCTCTTGACGAGTTCGGAGGAGCTTCGAACATATGCGCTGTACCCAAGCTGCAACTGGAGTTGCCGCGTAGAGTCTGAGTGCAACGCAAGATCCCAAGCTAAGTGTAAGATATGGGTCATTGAGACGGACTACTTTGGACTGAGGCAGAGTGGGGCGTGGAACCTATGCAAAGATTTGCTGTTCTCCGACAACGAGCAGGCTGGGACCTCTGAGCAGAAGTTCCTATCGCTGAGAATGGACTTGCTGAGGTGCAATGCGCTGGCTTGGAAGTGTTGTGCAATCTTACCTTATCACCAGAGGCATGGGTCACAGTCATGCGGCATTTTGAAGTGGCATGTTGCTGTGAGAGAATAGGCTTGGCAGACCCTGCACCTAAGAACATCAGTGTAAGAAGTGAAAGAAAGATACAATATCTACTATACTGATCTATACTGTTGTTGTATAACACACAGATGGAACATCACGAACTATGGGTGTATCGCTTCGAAGAAAAGACGTCAACGGTTTCGTCCCAGCTGGCGTGCCCGGAGGTCTTGGAGCGTTTCGCTGATGGGAAGGCAGAGGTGGAGCTGCAGCTCCTGGGTGCCTTCTGCCAGAGCGAGGACATTTGGGAAAACCGACCACCCAAGCACGGGAAGCCTTTACAAATAGAGCAAAGAAAGAAGACCTGAAAGGATCAGAGTTTCTGCGATAGGAAAGGGAACAATAGTGAGACTATTCCTTTGCCAGAACCCTTTTGCTAAGCATGCTTTGATTGAACACGTGAAGCACCTGTTTGTGGGTCCAACGGTCTTTAGACGAAGGACCTTCGGAGCAGCGTGGCCGCTTCGGGGGCCTTGGCGATGCTGGCTGACTGCCCGGAGGTGGGGAAGAGGAGGTTGGCTTTATTGGAACAACGTTTCGTTCTCGGCTCGTTTTGATAAGGAGTGGTTTTCTGCGGTTTTAGTGTATCTTCACCAGATGTGTCTTCCAGTCAAATTTAAGGATGAGGTAAGCAGGGAATGAATGAGCTTCCGAGCTTCCGTACTTGATTTCAATGAGCAGATCTGTAATAACGGCTTAAGCACAAGTGATCACCGCCAAGCTCTACCAACGAGGTGGCTGAGCAGATTGCATCGTGCCCGCATTGCATCAAGGGCCTCCTACATCTCTTGGAACAGAAGGTGACGCACTGGGTGGGGCTACAAAAGTCTATTTCTGCGTTTCGAGCTCATTCTGAGACAAAACCTTTGAACACAGTGCAAGCTACACACAGCTACACTACAATACCTTGTTACTGAAGCAGCTCATGCGTAGAGTTGCTGTTCCCATCAAACAGCCGCAACCAAAACGAAGCCCTTAGATCCCGTTCCTTGGTGTTTGCAGGAGCCTCCTTTGCAACATCGGGCCATGGTCCTTGCCACTTCTTTGGTGGAGACGGAGGCTGAAGCAAAGGATGTGATCCTCAAGAAGGTGAAGGAGCAGACAGGGGCTTTGTCTTATTTGCTCCAAAGTGTCTCCAAGAGTTTGCCGAAAGCCACTAGAGCTTGACATTGAACAGAGTCCCTGAAGACTTGGTGCTCACATGTCACAGCAGGTTGGACACCCAAGAACCTCATGTCTCAGGAGCGGAGAAAGCTGGGCTTCAGCTCTGTGGAGGCACAAGGCCGCAGTGAAGGGGCCGCTGTTTGATGGATTGAAGCTGGCTGATGGCGATGATTATCGCGTATTTGCATGTATTTTCTGAAATCATGTTCAATCCAATCCTGATGCACTGATTTCATTGCAGCAAAGGTGAGGGGTTGCTCGAACGACAGCTAGTTGTGTGCAGTGGTTTAACATGTTTTACCAAAGTAAATGAGTACAGTACTATATGACATTATCTGACTATATATATACTTCTTGTCGATATTCCTATTCCTAGTCCAGGGACCTGACTTGCTGCGTTACGACGCTTTGGCTTTCTCCGCTTGATCAGGTCTTGCTGAATCACTGGGATGAGCCAACCTGCCCAATGCCCATGGACGTTAGCTTTGAGTCGTTAGTTCCGACGCTTTGAGTCGTTTTGTACAGAGGGCCTTGGCGCCACTGGGCGCCAGACACTTGCTGCGCCAGCAGCGGGCTGAAGCAGCTGGGATGGGAAGTGACCCGCGGGGAGAATCACAAACAGCGGCGCTGAGATTTCTGAGGTGTTGCAATTCTTCGTAGAGGTCGGTCCCAGATGGAAAGAAGGAATGCAAAAATATGTGTTTTAATTGAAGGATCGTGACATGCTTCATGTTCACATAATCCAGAGAAACTCGTTGCCTTGCAAGTTGACACTCTCGCTTTTCCTAGGCCGTTGGTGCCTCAAAACATGAAGCTTTACAAGGCTAGCTGGCTTGACTTGAGTTTCTCTTCCGTTTTCCTTTGCCAGCGCAAGCTTTTGATCTCGAAACTCCAAACTATTTGTTTGTTGTTTTCGACTCGTGATCTCTGTTTCATATATTATATGATATTCTAAGGTTACTTGAATAAAGGGACCATCCGACCATTTCGGGTGCTTTGCAGCAAAAAGACATCAATACAAAACACCTGGTCATTGGCCAAGCGGAACTGATACTTTTTTGACAGGTTTGTTGATTGAGAGGTGAGCATGTGTGTTTTTCATCGGTTTGGGACAGCCCTCCACCAGAAATGTGCTTTAGGATTTGACGACATTTCGGCTCAGAAGAACATCTAGAGTCTAAACGCCTCCCATTGCGACACCTCACGAGCCTCGCACCATGTCTTTGCCCTTCGGAGCAACCAGGCGTTCTTCGGCCGTTTTTGCTCTGTCGCGTTTTGTTACATGTCCACCCGGGGTGTCCAGCCGTTCTATTTGTTGGTCTATCATTGTGCGGCTGTCGAGTCAGGACTGGTCGGATCGGTCCCCCAACGTAGAGATCTGACCAATTGAAGCTCACACTCACGGCAGGTTCACCCCGATCGAGAGCTCCCTGGGTGGTATGATGATCGGCGCCTCTGCCGCTATGGCCTACCTCATCGACGGCAAAATCACCGGCATTAGCGGCGTGGGAACCCAGTCACCCGGACACGAACAGCTTTCTGAGCTCCTGAAACACCGCCTTTTTGCTGAAGAGTGCCAACCACTCTAGCACTTTGACCTAGAGAGTGTTGTGGTGCTGTTCCAACCTCAAGTGCACAGTTGAAAACATACAAGCCTTCTAGCAACACCTGTTCGCGACCATGTTGCTTCATCCCAAGACGCGTTCTCATAGCTGGGACGAGCGCCGGTGACTGGAAGGCAAGTAGGAGAGCCACGAGCCGGAATTCAATTAAGTACTTATACAAATACCTGCATCCTGCGCCCTTTCCACATCGAAATCCTCTTTATCTGTACGAGACGTTGATAGATTCATCATACTGTATATGATATGACAAAGACAGGAGCTTGCTGGAGGCTTTCATTTTGGGCCGACACTGAGGTATCATGGGCCCCTTCTTTCGTGGCGTCACTAAGTGTGATCCTGTGAAGGCAGAGTGGAGGGAGTTCGGAAGAACTCCGAACATCTCCGAATTCTAAACGAAGTTCTTTCGTTAAATATAAATTGACTGTTTTTCGGAGAAGTGCAACACAAACCTGGAAGAAGTTCTGCACCCTAGAGCCACAAGACTGTAAATGGTGGGGTGCCGGAGTGCATGGCGGACTTTGCTTGGCGTAAGCGGGATGAAACCAACCAGCTGGAGCTCCCTTTGTGAATGGTAACGTTAAGTGACTGATTTGGGGACTGGCACTAACGCCTCGAAGCTCAAGTGCAAGGGTTTGTCCATTCGGTGAGACGATGATTTCAGTGTGATTAACAAACACGAGACGAGACTGTTGGGATCATTGCTCCACCATACTACCAAGAACCCGAGTGTTAAATTATGTCAGGCCGGTTTGGGCCAAATCTGATAGTGCGGAGAACGGTCAACAGAGCAAGTAGGTCCTAGGTCTCAAAATCGGAGCTAGGATTTTCTGAAGCTTGGAAGCCAGGATGGACAGCTATGGAAGTTGCTCTTTTTGACCGGCTTCTTGGTGACAGGATTACAGCGCTGTGGTCGGCTCAGAGGATCAGATTCTTAAGCTGATGGCCGTGTGGGTTTGGAAGGTGTTGAGAAGAGGACAACACAAGGACAAACTACATCAAACTACCCGTTTAAATCCTCTTAATAGTGTTTAGATCTGTTTAGCTAGAGTACTGAAATCGATCCGTGGCATTTGCCATTTCAAGTAGAAGCACCCGGCCCAAAAGGGTGTGTGTAGATGGCAACGGAGTTGATGACGTGGAGATGCTGAGGTTTGTTCTTGGGCGGCTTAGTGGATTTGGCGCTCAACTGGGACTTCTCGTTCCCCCACGCACCTCCTTTGCACGCCGTACGGTACCTGCTGGCAGGCCTGGCAGCGAAGGCTTTGTTTCCAAAGGAATATCCGATGTACCAAAGACGGATTCTCAGAAAGGTGAAGCAAGATCATGAGACGGCACGATGCAGATGACGCCACTTCAGGTGTGGCGGTGGGCATCGGGACGCGTGTCGGTAAGGGCTGCACCAGCGGGCACGGGATTTGCGGCCTGCCGCGCTTCTCTTTGAGAAGTTGGACGCTGGACGGCACATTGCATTTCAGAGAAAGGGAGATAGGAAGTCACTGGAAAAGCCATAAATGTGGGTAAGACTCAGAGCAAGGCTCCACTTTGAGGTGAGGTGTGAGGTGAGAGGTGAGAGGTGAGGTGAGGGAGTGAGTGAGAGTGAGGGCGAGGGCGAGGGCGAGAGCGAGAGTGAGAGAGAGTGAGAGAGAGTGAGAGTCAGAGTCAGAGTCAGAGTGAGTGCGTGAGGGTGAGCGTGAGCGTGAGCGTGTGTGAGTGAGAGGGTGCATGTTTATGAAAACAACGGTTTTTGATAGGTCGTGACGGCGGACTTCAACACACATTGTTTTTTACAGCACGGAATGGACTAGTTAGTGCACGCCAAGAGAAAAGTGAAAATTACACCAGCATAGACCCCAGATAGCAAAAACATGCAACCTGTCTCCACCACGTGCACAGCCAGCTCACAGCACCAGCACCAACACCGGCACACAGCACCAGCACCAGCAACCTGTCTCGAAAATGCGCACGGGCAACTCATTGTTATTTGAAGTAAGAACCCCATAGCTTCACTATCTGGGGAATTGGACAGCGCCCTGCAATGTCAGCAGGTCCAAAGCATAGACAGGAACCTTTTTGACACACTTGGGTGTATCTCCTCTACCAGTTCTATCTACCAACCAAACAGACCAACCCACCTAGTCGGTACAAGGCCACCGATGCTTCTAAGCCTTGCCCCTTCCGACGGAGCCCTTTTCATTGTTTTGTCGGGAAGTCATAGGGAAGCGCAGGAGTGGCATCAAGTCCTGCATACACCGTAGGTGTTGAGGTGAAGATCAGCTTGACAACAGTTTAACAACCCTCCAAGAATCCCTAGCAATGCATAACATGTAAGTCGTCCTTAGATGTCCTTAGATATGCCTGTCTCCACCACGTGCACAGCCAGCTCACAGCACCAGCGCCGGCACCCGGCGCCCAGCACCAGCACCCGCACAGCACCAGCACTATAGCGCCGGCACGCGCCACCCAGCACCAGCAACCTGTCTCCACCACGTGCACAGCCAGCTCACAGCACCAGCACCAACACTGGCACCCAGCACCAACACCAGCACCAGCAACCTGTCTCCACCACGTGCACAGCCAGCCACCAGCACTGGCATCCGGCATCCGGCACCCAGCACCAGCACCGGCGCCAGCAACCTGTCTCCACCGCGTGCACAGCCAGCTCACAACTCCAGCACCAGAGCACCAACACCGGCACCCAGCACCAGCAACCTGTCTCGAAAACGCGCACGGGCAATTCATTGTTATTTGAAGTAAGAACCCATAGCTTCGCTATCTGGGGAAAAAACCTTGTGTTCCTTTACTGCTGGTCTTCGACTGTCGGTTTTTGAGGTTTTTTTCCATGTGTCTTGTCGGGAGGCCGGGGGGCCAGATCGGAGCTGTTTGGGTGACGGTTTTTGACGTTTTTGTTGGGCAGAAACTTTGGTTTTTGTGGTGTTTTTGTACATTGCCGAGGCTTGACGTCTTTGCGCAAAAATGTAAACAACCTCGCAAATAGCAGTGTTTTTGGCGACCATGTCGTTGAAAACGTCGCAATTTGCGGTACTGTTTGACAGCAGGTTCAAAAAAGCATTATAAATAGCTGTGTTTTGGGCCACGGCAAACTCAAAAACATCGCTATTTGCAATGGTTTCTGCCTCACAGAGCATAAAGACACTAAAATACATAGTGGTGTTTTCGGCAGCGTCAACCTCAAAAACCTCGCTATTTCTAGTGGTTTTTGCTTTCCGGCGTGTGAAAACACTGTCAATAACGGTGTTTCGGCAGATGCCAAAAAAACATATATATGTGTGTTTTATATATATTTGTATATATGTGTGTGTGCGTTGGGAGCGGGAGCTGAACGCAACAATCTGTTTGGATCCACACTTACTAAATGGCAACATGATGAACCCTTGTGATATATGGTGATGAATGAAGATAGCGCATACTTCTGGCGTATTACGTTCTACGATCGTTGTTGCGTCATGCCATCACTCATTAGACTCGCTATTGATTTGTAGGGCAACATGCACGGCATAAGCAAAAACCTGTGTTTTTTACTGTTCGTCTTCGATTTTCGGTTTTGAAGCGTTCTTCTTTTTTCGTGTGTCTTGTCGCGAAAGCCGGGGGGGCCGGATTTTCTGATTTCGAGTTTGTGTGGGTGACAGTTTTCGCCCTTGTTGTTGGGCAACTGTTTCATGGCCATGGCGGCACGGGCGGACCTTGCCACGCGGCGTGAAAATAGATATTGCAATATTGTGTAATGGTATACATATATCATATTTATATACACACATCATTACAACCTTTTCCCGGAGAAGTTTTTTTGTAAATTTAAATGTAACACGGTGTGAGAATTGACAGTTGGACTTGTCAGTCCGATCCGCAGCTGACCCAACACAGTTGAACTTTGGTTTGCCTGTTTATGTGTATGTGTATATATATACATATATATATGTATATATATTCAGACTTGAGACTTGAGGCAGACTTTGTATTTCATTGACGTGGGTTTATTTATTGAGTCTTGTATTTATGTACTTGTGCCATCTTTAATATGTTAAAAGATCGCCAAATATGCAAGATTTGCAGAAAATACCAGTGAAGTATGACCTTGGGTGTTTTTTGGGGGGGATAGCATATGTATATATATATATAATATAGTTATATATGCTCTTTAAAATACCCTTCCCATACCCTAGTCCTAGTATGTAATGAGAAGGCCACCCCCATATAAAACGGTTCATGTATATGAAAAGGGGGTCCACCCCTCAAATCGTAGTAAACTATCATTTCACATAACTGTTGGACGTCGGTTCCCCTCAATTATTTTGCTTGATTATGCTAGACTTTCAATGTTGTTTTGAGATTGTATAGACATTCCGTTCGATCGGGAAAGAAACAGGCAATGCCAAGGCAAGCTGTATGTCGTTTGTACGTTTGAAAGTAGGACTTTATAGAGACTTGAAACTTATGAGTATAAGTTCCAGAGTGGGATCAAGCATGCTGGCAGTTTGCCACGGATACGCCCGCACTTTCTGACAGGTGTCTACACTATCTTAAAATGCACGTGCCACCCCATCAAATTATATGGCCAAGGGGTCTACCCTATGAAAACACGTGCCACCCCAATGCTTTATATCTATATCCCAAGCAGGACCCCCAGGCGGAATGCACAGGGTCGTGCACATTTTTATCACGGTATCTCAAGGGATTGGGATTGTGTAGACAGCCATCGACTGTAGGATTTCAGTGCCCACCTTCATGGCCGTGGCAGCTGCGACGGTCGCTATTACCCGACACGCTTTGAAGATGGATGGCACGGGGCAACTTGGTGGAGTGGAAGTAATCGAATGAGACAGCCCCACTGGTCCGCAAGTCTGGTCAGTGCCCATCAGATCTAGACCCTCCACCCTATTGTTTGGGAGGTTCCGAGATGTTTTTCAACGATAGGTGCCCCGGGTGGGTCACTGTTCACCAACCCGACACCACCTTGCGTATAGGTGGACTTGTCCTATGATGTTCACATGGTTTGGCGCAGAACATGTTCAGAACTAGCAATCTCGGATGGTGTATCATCCTCAGAAGCTCCTTTGAAGAGACCATTGGGGCCGTGGGAACAAGTTCCTCGTCCAGTATGAGGCTACTGTGTTTTGCATCCGACTTGAGAGTCTTGGTTATATAAACAGAGGGATCCCCGCAGCACCGCCTTTGCCTCGCTGCGGGTGGCGAGTTGTGTTCACTGCACACGTTTGAGGTTCAGCCCGCAGATTGCTCAATTGCAGTGGCCCCCCAGGCGACGACGGAGAGGGAGCTGGAAAAAGGGCGAGTGCTTGGCAAGTGAGTCAATTGCAGATTTGACTGCCAAGTTGGATCTGATTTTTCAGTTGTTCTTTCGGATGGACTCTTCCCAGGCTGTTCTTACTTTGCTTCAGATTGCAACTGGCCATAAATCAGCTCGACATGGTTCCCTGTAGCAGGTGGGAGTTTCCTGTGGGCGCCTTCTTGGGCAGCTTGAGCTTGATTGCGCTCACCGTGCTTTTGCCTGACCGCTTCAAAGTGTGAGCTGGCCAGCAGGGCAGAGGCAATGGGTCTATTGCGTACTGCGGTTTTCAGGCCATGAGCCTTCTTTGGGCAACACTGGCAAGCTAGCATTGACCTCCCCTACAAAGGGATGAACCAATGCAGGCGAAGATTGGTTCATCGCCAATACTGTGCCAGAGTATGACAGAGTGAACCAAGAACTAAAGCAAAACTAAAATGGAAAGCGGACATGCAGACCCTATTTTTGTATCAACATAGCATCAATCGTAGACCTGTATACTGTACTTCATCTCAGCTGGATACTGATTGGACATCGCTTCCGTAGTAGATTCAAGCTCAGCTGGTGGCGCAAGACTTACGCTACATGATTTCCACCAAGAAAATATAATAGACATGGTATGGAACCTCCACATGTATCTAACAAAAACTTCTTTCCATGCTCGCAGCAAAGTTATTGAATATCAACGTTCCCACCCAACGAGCCCAAACTTCAACGGGCCGAGGTTTGTGTCACCGCTGTCCTCGGGCCTCATCTTCGCCTTCGGCCTGGGCGCCTCTGGCATGACCAACCCCAGCAAGGCACCAGCGCAGAGCAGCCCATTGGACAGAGGACATCTGGAGACATCGATGCACTTGTTACTAGTAGCGTTCTTGTTACTACTAGTAAGGCACTTGTTACTAGAAGCGATGCACTTGTTACTAGTAGCTTCTGAGTGCCACCAGAGGTGAGATAGATTCGTGAAGGGTCTTCATGGAACCCATGGACCAGGTGTTGAACTTCTTGGACTTCGGAGGCTACTGGGATCCTTCGTTGGCCTTCGTCATGGGTTGTGGCATTTGCGCCGCTTGGTGAAAGGGATTTTCTTTCTCTTCCATGAACGCCCAGACTCTTTCCCTCGCTTCTTTGTTTCTGTGCGGTTGTCCTCGTGCCAAGTGATTGTGCATGTTTGTGCCTTGCATGGGAAGGTGAACAGCATGCAACGGGACTTTCCTCCAGGCATTGGTGTTTGATCGCCATGTGAGGTCACGGAGACCTTTTACGTTTTGAGCCCCATTGGCACATTGGTCCCAATCTCCCGGAAGTAAGTTGCAAGTTGCATAAATGAAGCAATGCCCAAAGTCTGAGGTGTGTTTGGTTTTGGGCTGCAAGCTTGAGCAACTTGAGGTCAGTGGACCTGCTTTCATTTTGGCCGAGCAGCTGGGAAAGGCCGAGCTGAGGGGGTCTGAGTGAGGAGGCTTGAGGAGCATTGGGATGGATCATTTTGTGTCGTGAACCAGGAGAATCTCAAATCAATGGTGATTCAAAGTTCAATCCCGAAATCCCAAACAGTCAAGGGACAGGGAACAATGACAAGTAGTTTATAAGAATCGGAGCAACTAATTGTTTTTCCAAGTGTGTTTTAAGTGTTTTTTTCAGGTTTGTTTCTTGATCTAGTGTACCACCACCGCCGCCACTGCCACTGCCACTACCACTGCGACTACGACGACGACGACGACGACGACGGCGACTACTACTCCTCCTCCTGCTCCTCCTCCTCCTGCTGCTGCTGCTCTTCCTCCTCCCGCACCTCCTCCTCCTCCCCCTCCTCCTCCTCCTCCCCTCGCTCTTCCTCCTCCTGCTCTTCCTCCTCCTGCTCTTCCTCCTCCTGCTCTTCCTCCTCCTGCTCTTCCTCCTCCTGCTCTTCCTCCTCCTGCTCTTCCTCCTCCTGCTCTTTCTCCTCCTCCTCCTCCTCCTCCTGCTCCTGCTCCTCCTCCTCTTCCTCCTCCACCTCCTCCTCCTCCTGCTGCTACTGCTACTGCTACCCTATGCATCATGCAAACAGATGGTTGTTAAAGATTGGCATGAGCACGCAAACTAGGATCCCACAAGATGCACAAAAGAGGAGCGGTTGGCAGAGTGGTTCCCAAGCAAAAAATAACATAGCAGTCACGTGGGAATTTTCACTTGATTTAGCTAGGAAAGATTAGAGCAAAACGAAAACCTATTGAAAAAGAAAACCAACTGATGAGATGATGCCCGAAGCTCACTTACACGACATTCGATGTGTTGACCCCTACTCACTTGGTCAGTTGGTCCAAAGATTTTGGAACTGATGGCACATAGGCAAGGAAACTGGAGTCACCTCCCTGCGATAAGCAATGACACTGACACAGGCGGCTGAAGAACAGCAGTTTTTCCTGCCTCCGTTCTTCCCTCGTTCTTCTCTCGCTGTGAGAGGTCTCGACGCCCTTGATTGAGGGCTGCAAGTTCGAGAACCCGCCGAAAAAGGGGAACTATGTGCCCCTGGTGATTGGTTCCTGGACAAACATTGGGACAAAGTATTGTTTGCAAAGCTGGCATCACACTGACACTGAACCAATTTCCCGATATATGGCCACAGATCAACAAGTCCAGGCCAACACTTTACCTGGGCCATTTGTCCTTTGAACTAAGTCAAGTTCCATCATCCCCAATCATCCCCAAAAAACAGAGGTCGCCTCACATGGAAGACAAGTTGGGCCCAGGGGCCTTGGGACTATGTTTGGGTTCCTTTGCATCTTGACTGGGGGCGAGATGGTCTTATCCATGACCAAGGTCCTCATCCATCATAAAGGATGATACGGATTAAACTCAGCGGGTGCATTCTTAGAGAGGAGATCAAAGACAGAAACTCACCAATAAATCCGAATTCGCATAAAACGTAAACAATAACTCCTTACAATGCCAAGGTGCCAGCCTTTTTGGCCTTGGGTGGGGCCTTTGCGGACTTTGCCCTGGTCCTGCGCTGGTGGCGCTGGTCCCGCAACCAGGCATTGTTATGTCACAAAGCCTTTGTGTCAAAGCCGGAAAAGGGCAGATGCAGTCATGTATAGAAGAAGAACGTGTGACATGTTTGATTGTTTCACCGATCCATGTTGGGGGCTCCTCTGAATTGACACGTGTGGCATTGTCAGTTTCTTCGCACAGAAATTGTTGTTTTTGAATACTGATCGCACTTCCATGGAGACCTATATAATAGAACATCAGGCTCAGGTGTAAAGTACTACGAGCACGGGCACAAATCAATGGTTGCAGTAAATTCAGGACGGGTTCAACCCCGTCCCGCTTGTCCTTTTCTTCACCTTAAGGAAGATCGTCACTGGCATTTGGCGTACTTGGCAGCCAGATTTCGGAGTCGCCGCTGCTGCCTTGGTCATTTGCATTGCGTGGCTTACCACCGACCGGCTGATCTTGTACCCTGGTTGCACCATGAAATCTTGCTGGTAGGATCAAGTGTTACTCTATGTTACTCTTATTGCAAGCTTCGGATAGTAGGATAGCTCTCGGATACTATTTGGATAGCTTTGGTGACTTGTTTTATGTCATTCGTGCTTCGATGGTTATTTTTGGACCTGGAGTCTCGCAATGCCCAAGGCACTTCGGGTCCCGCGTCACCAGCAGCCCGGTGACCCCTGCAAGCACCGAGAAAGCAGGTCCGTGAGGTGTCACAGCTGCACTGTAAAGGATTCCCGTGTGATTTGTTCTACACCACGCGCAAATGTTGACAAACTGCATCATGCATAAACTGTGCTTATCCTGCGAGATTTTGGATGTGATTTGGTCAAAACAACGGACATCTCATCCCCAGTGTAGAGCCTCGTAGAGCTGCAAACCAAGCAAATGTTGGCAACTTGGATGACCCTCTCTATCACGTGGAGGTTTGTCATCGACAATAGTATCATCAGCGATGGACGAATTTCCATGCAATAGATTGCACCAACACAAGCTGCAAGAACCCTTGGGTTTCCAAGACCACTTTCGATGGGCAGAAATCCTGCACAGAATACAGGAAACCTGGCTTTCATTCAACTCGTTTCTTTAAGAATGTCACAAGAACTTTCAAGTGGGGCATTCAACACCGAATCTGTGGAAAGTTGGGATTCGGATAACTAAGTTAGACTCTAAAGGCCTTCCTCCGCACTCTGTGCGAGGACTTCAGGACTCCGTGGTGCCTCACTTTTTTTTTCAAAGGCGTGGTCTGCCACATGTGAGGCGCGATGTTGGGCAACGGCGGCCAGGGAAATGCCTCAGAGACTTCAAAGATAGTTGCTCATAGGACCACTGTGTGATTCGAAGAAATCTGCAAAGCCCAGGGGTGTGGCCCTTGTCTTTGAGGCATATCTGGTTTTCTCATAGTTCTCTGCAATTGTACAGAAAACTGTCTTGGGAACTAAATGATTCCCCTTGTGGAGACCTATGCTTCTGAAACTGCTCCTGCCTTTGTGCAAGCAGCATGCCTGTCTTATGCCAATGGCATCGCAAGATGCGATGGCCATGGGATTCGAGACGCAAAGACCAAGACTCGGAGATGTCCAACCCACTTTGGTTGTCATGTTGAGCACAGGGTCTTCGTGCTGGTCATGGTGTCCACGGTGTTGGGCGATTTTGGGCCTTCTACTGACGTAACGCTTTTTTATGTGACCACACAATTACAGGGGGGTAGGGTTGGGTGGGGTTGTGTCGGGGCAATGACGTTCGGTTGAATCATCAGCGTTCATCTTCATCTTCATTTCAAGCCCTTCATATTTGTCTTCGCTTCCTGAACATGTGCATTCAGAATCATTTCGTAGGGAAAGTGTACGTGTTTGAATGTAATTGTCTTTTGTTATTTCATCAGCTTCATCTTGATCTTCGTTTTATGAACCATAAAGGTTAAAGGTGGTTCAATAATGCTGAAAGCAGTGGGACACTTGTGTGTCAAAAAAGTCCAATTGAAAGAAGTGTATTTCCGTGGAACTTTTTTTTGCGCTTTAAACCTACTTATGTGTGGCGAAAACGCCGAAAACTAAAAACGTGGACCCTCTTGGTAGGCTTGGCCCCTCAGAAGCCATCCTCAAATCATGATTTCACATTTCCCCACAAGGACATCTTCATGAATCAAGGCCCAATTGACACCACGTTCATGCTGCCCTTCCGATGAACAAAAGGCTGCTTGAGGCCTCAGCACCAAAACGCATTTTTGTCAGAGTACTGGATTCGCAAAGTTTAGACTAGAACTGGTTTTTCAAGTTATACAATTACACCTGACACAGACAAACAAAGTTCTTCGATTGACCAGGTTCTTCCACTAGACCATAGACGGGTTGTGCTCCGTCAAACCGTGTTTGAGGGGTCAATGCCGATGCTTCTCAGACGCAAGTGCTCTTAAAACAGCTTAAAACAATCATATTACTGTACTTGTAGGTGTTTGATGTTTGTTTGGTTGTTCTGAAACAGCATCGATAAGGCCTTGTCTCGAATCGATCGGGCATAGTTTTACCCTGCACTTCCGACCCGCTCAGGAAAGTGTGTCACAAAACCCGTGCCAGCGCAATGCTTCGTTTTGCATGGTGATTACATATATTATATACATGCTTTATCGTTCTATTTGCAGGTGTCATTCTGGGTTCTTTGATTTGCATTGGCTTCCCACAAGGAACTCAACCAGGAAGTTGTAGAATGCTGTAGAATGCTTCCCACACAGACTTTCATCCCAAGCGTCCTCCGCAGCCAGTTTCAAGCCCCCCGCGGCACGACTCGCAAGCAATGTCTTTGCCATTCGGGGCTACCATGTGCCTGGCTTCAAAATCGGGGGTCTGTGAGGGCAGGGACCTCTCGTTGGGCAATTGGCCAGGACCCGCAAGATTGCTTTCGTGTTTCTGCAAACTTGCGCATTCTATATCCACCGGCACCCAGTCACCGATAGGTCACTTGGACCCAAAGTCGACCGTTTTGGACGTTCCAAGCCCTAAGGTTCACTCCTTTGGAGAGCTCTCTGGGCGGTTTGATGATCGGCGCCTCGGCGTCCTTGGCCTACCTCGTGGACGGCCGCATCACTGGCATCAGCGGCACCCTGGAAGTGCTATCATTGTTTGCTCGGTTTGATAGGATCGATTTGCCCCAAGTGTCAAGGCCCAAATTCTGGGGTAATGTTCGTTGTTAAGGGTTTTTCATTCATTGAGAAATGTACGAGGTGTTCTTTTGGCTCAAGCCTTTGTTACTTTGTTTGCCTTTTGTTGTTGGAGCTGGTTCGTTTTGGTGTCAGCCAGTCACAGTTGGCCCAGACAAGCCAGTGGATGCGCCCAACAGTAGTTCCTAAAATGAAGCGGGAAACGGGAAACCGCAGGTCCTTCTTAGAGCACGACGTTTGCCGTGTCCTTCGTTTGAGCTAAGCTAGCAGCGCAAGCCGGGCCCAGGCATCATGGGTCCATTTCTGCGGGGTGTCGGCCAGTGCGAACCGATGAAGGAGATTTCCGGGTTTAAGATAAGAGGTGAAAGAGTGGAAAGGATGAGGAGATGTTGTTCGTGACAATTTGCAACTAGTAACAAGTGCCTCGCTAGTAGTAACAGGTGCCTTACTAGTAGTAACAAGAAGCTATTTGAAACAATAAGCTAGTAGGAACAGAAGCTTTGTTTCTCTCGACGTCTCGAGCTCGGTCCAAAAGTGGGCCGTGTTGTCACCGGCAGACGACGACACAGAAACCCCAGTTCCATCCGAATACCACAGTATCCGAGTTTTGGCCTTTCCACTGCTTCCATTGATTACCACAGTTATCTTGTTGAGGTGTGTTTTCATTTGACCTGTCAAAGTATCGAGGAGTCTCTTGCATGGGGGGAGCTGGACACTTGAGGGTCAAACCATCCTCCTCAATTGGCCGGGTCCAGCGTCCTCCTTCGGTGAAGGATGGACAGCTTTGGAAACTCTTCTTCTTGACAGGCCGCTGTTCGCCGCTGGTTTCCCGGTGGGGCCGATCAGAAGAAGCACTCGTGTTGAGCGGATGTTCCATATATGGCCACGAAAACCACGACTCCGGTGAAACGAGAACGAATTTGCCGGCCCAAAGGTTTTGGTGAGACAGTGCCATAGTACTATTGGATTTTAGATGAATCACACAGCGATAAGGGGGTGGGAACGTGTGACCAGGAAAATGGACATTTGAGAGCTAGAATGTGACGCTTTTGTACGCTCTCTATAAGGCCTCTAAGGCTTACTGCTTACTAGGGCCTACTAAAACCAACTGAGAACTAGTAGTCCTTGCTGGGGCCTGGCAACGCTCATAAACTCAAACCAGCATTGAGAGCAAGTCAAACTCAGCAATGCTCACTCAGAGCCATTTTGGTATCAACATCCTTTGTGACAACTACTTATTAAGCCTGGTGAATAGAAGCAAATTTCTTTGCAAGAAACGTTCCATACTCAGACCAGCAACACTCAGCAAGACTCAGTATCGCTCAGTAAGATTCAATAACACTCAACCCCCTCCCCATTGATTTGGGTCAGTTGGCACTGGGCAAGACTTAGGAACACTCAGCAACACTCAGCAGCACTCAGCCAATTCCAAAAGAGTCAAAAAAATGTTTTCCATGGCCCCCCGTTGAGATTCCCGTTGTGACCCAGTGATTGGAGCAGTATTTGCTGAGTGACTCTTGTCATTCTTTGGTCACAGTACCAGGAGGTAAGGTTTTAGCCAGCGACCACCAGTGCCCAAAATGGATCGAGCTTACTTCGGAGCGAAGCTGATGTGAAGCGTCAACCACCGAAAAAGAACAGGGAAGCAGCTTATTGTGCGCTCTACCGATCTTCCTTGGGGGAAAGGTAGTGTTTGTTATATACAGCCCTTTTGTTTAGTTCATACTGCCAAAGTACCAACCTAAAGTCTCGTTCTTGGTGATCTACTAGTAACGTGGAAAATCGACTGAATGGCAGTTGTCAAGAACTGGCCCCAAAATTAATTTTGCGAGCGTTACCTTGGAGATGCACATGATGTGTTCAGGGCATCTGGAAGAAGTGTAAGTTTTGTCAGTCATCCTATAGGTTTGGCATGGCCACCTGCGCCCATCCTTGACAATGATATTAAACAACAACCAGCTTTGCTCACCCCACAGAGGATGTCCAAGCGAATGATGGTGTTTAGCACTTCCTACAGAGGTTTGATACGTCACGTGCCGAAGGAAGGCGAACATTCTCATGGCATTCCAGAGGTGTATATAAATGAGATGTAATTTACGAAATTGGTTAAACAAATGTAGACTGGTGACTGTTATTTTGGGGTGATTGCTGGTGATCAGTGATTGGGGTTGCTAAATCACCGATCAGCCGAGCGATGGGAGGCTTGCTGCTGGGTGGCCTGGTGAACTTGGCGAATTGGGAGTTCTCCTACCCACCCGCCCCGCCTTTGCATGCTGCTCGCTATTTGCTGGCAGGCGTGGGGGATGTCAGACCTGAGGTCAGTTAGCTCACTGCATCTCGCTCCTGCAAGGCATCTCTGTGGGCATCGGCACACGCATTGGGAAGGGTTGCACCAGTGGTCATGGCATTTGCGGACTGCCACGCTTCTCGTTGAGAAGTTGGTGCCTTGGCAGGGGAGTGAGCGAAGAGGGTGGTGAGTGGAGTAGTGTAGAGATTGGTGATTGTATGTCTATCCTCCAGCTATAGAGTTCAATACCAAGATGGTGTGTGTGTGTGTGTCACGTCCTGTTCAAGAGGACCTCTGACACCACCAGACATTTTTAATGTACAGAACTGCAGGGGGCCGGAGCCAGGTCGAAGGTCTCCGGCCAACGGAGACACCCCCCTCCTGGGTGTAAACTTACCCTGCATTTTTGAACTGTTTGAACTGTTGTCCAAGCTGTTCACCCCCCTTACTTTTCACTAAAGGGCTAATGCACTTTGTTGAAACATTCTGTTCTTGCCGACCCGGCACTTCATACCGTTGAGCCAAGTCAAGGTTTAATTGCATTCAAGGTCTAATTGCAGTAACGCTGGAACTTCCAAACTGATAGATCTCTTGCGAGCATGGATCGAAGTGTGTGATAAAATTGGTTTTGCTGCAGATAAAGCTTTTGAACAAGTTCAGGGCACGGGCTGCACACGCTGGTCTCAAGGATCTCTGTGCCCACCTTCATGGCAGTGGCTGCTGCCACAGTGGCCATCACTCGACATGCCTTGAAGTCCGACGGCGAGCAGCTCGGTGCAACCCACAAAAACATGTTGTACGGGGAAATCAACAAGAAGGTCCAGGGGGTGTAGGATTTCTCCGTTCACCTCCCCTGTCGCTTTTCACTATTTGATGTCTAGTTATTTGCTTTCGCTTTGTCCACTTTAAGACTGTAGTGCCATCGCCACGTACACCGCAGCAGCCACCACCACTACTACAATTGTTGGTACTGCAAGCACCAGGGCTTTGAATGGTTGCAAGGGAACATTCGTACCGAAAGACCTTTGTTCTTTGTTCAATGAAATTTTCTATTTCTAGGTCAGTGGCTGCAAGTGTAAGCTTTTACAGGGTCCAAGGTAGCTTGTGGATAGTTGCGGAATCCCACCCTGTTGTTTGCCGGTCAGAAGAGCAATTGAACAAGTGCTTGCACATGCCGCATGCCAGTACCTCCTGTAGACTCAGCGCTTTGACAGCATGTGGACCCGAGTGTTTGATGACTTTGCTTCTTGTGGATTGAATTCGCGAGCTACGGAGGTTGAGCGGGTTGAACAAAAGATGTCCAGGATTGTCCCTTAGTGAGGGTAAAGTGAACGAATCCTTGGCAAAGATTAAGAAAGAACAAACGAGCAGAGGTCAGCAGACGTTGCGCTGGTAGCCCACCATACCTCTACCAGATGTTGTCCTCGTTTTTGGGGGGTCAGAGACAAAGTCCTACACCAATCAGTCGTCGTACACTCCGTTTGCCTGCGACAGTACATTTCAAATTTGCCTGACAATGCACTCTAGCTTGTGCGGTTTCTCATAAATGTGACAACACGCTCTAGCTATAGTACAAGGGATGTCAGTTTTCATTTGGAATATCATGCAGACGATGAAGTTGGGTGTCACCCTTTTCCTTTGACAAAGCTTCAGGATTTTGCAATAAACGAAACCAATTTGTCCACCTCTCTGACAGGAGGAAGAGCACGCATACAAGGAGTATTGCTCAAAGCTAGGAAAGACCGGTTTTCTTTGTGGGTGCTTGGCCTCTTCAACAAATTTAGACAATTCTACGAACCTCAATGATGTGGAAACTCCCTGTAAAGGGATCACGTTCAAGCTTGCACCCAGGTACAGCCCGCAGATTGCTGAGGTGCAGTGGCCACCCAGGCAGGGTGTTTGAAGTTTGGGCGAAGGCCAAAGGCGAAGTAGGTTGTTGGCACATGGCTGCTTGAGATGAACACATATGATTCTGCGGAACTGTGCACATGCCCTTCCGACTGGCTTTCACGGCTTTAGGGCTCTTGACCTTTTGGCTTCAGGTTGGAAAACAGTGTACGCTTCGCTTCGCCTCCTTTTAGGCTGTTTAGCTCACTGCTGTTCACAGGTTCTGATATGGGCACTGTATTAGGGACAAAGAAAAGAAGATCTTGGAAGACCAGTTCGCTGCAAAAAGGGTTGTTGTGTAAAAAGCGACGATAGATCACAACGTGTCAAGTTGTCGAAATAGAAGGATAAAGAATCCTTGGACCCACCGAACTCACCAGACTTGGGTCAGCAACCCTACGATGTTTCTTCAATGGCAGACCTGGTTCGATGAGCATTCTATGGTAATTAGTCAAGATGACATCATGTGTATGCAAGTGTAAGAGTATATGTGATACAGTTATATATATATATTATATATATATTATATATATATCGATCGATGTTTATCATGGTAATTTGCAGTTTGCGCATTGACAAAGGCTTTCCACAGTACCATAAGGTACTGAGAATATCTTGGAGCCGCCTGTGTGATCAGGTAGAACATACCATGGGAGCCAAGCAAGGTTCAGTTCACATTTGAAAGAGGGTTCTAGGCAACAACTGGGGGAAAGGACGGCAATAATTCAATTGTTTTACTATGATCAAGACTCTTTCCACAGCAATCAAAGACTGCATTTCCGAATGTCAGATCCTCGAAGGTGGATCAGAAAGATTAAGTTTGTCCCCTGTGCGCAACTTCCCCCGTTCCCTTTGCTGAATCGGGTATCCTGCAATGTTCTGTAAGATACACAGATCGCGCAGCGAATGTGTGCAGGTGGGAATATCCTTTGGCAACGTTCTTGGGCAGCCTGGTCTTGATCGCCCTTTGCGTGCTCGTGCCAGACCGCTACAGAATGTCCGCTGCCCAGAGTTGCAGATTAGTGGGACGGGAAAAGGCGACAGAAATGAGTGAAGAGAGAGGTTTAACAGATTGTGAATCTTTTTGGCTGTGCACAATGGAGAAGCTGGAGGCCGAATTGAGCCCTTGCTTGGTCAAACTAAAATGCAGACTGCAAAGCAAAACTTCGTTGGGAGGAGATGTGAGGCGTCTGGCTTCACAGATTCCAAGCCTTTTCTGAAATATATACAGCAAATAAATGGCCCTAAGATAGCAGGTGGACTCCTTTTTTGCCCGACCAAAGGAAAGGGAACAAGGCACTCACAAGAATCTGAAGATGCTAAAGTGAATATGCGTACAAAATGTAGTACTTGCATGTGTCTATGTATGTCTATGTTCCCCACTTCCTGCTGTTAATATAGACATCTTGCCGCACAGATACCTCTCGCCCTTCTCCTCTGGCCTCATTTTCGCCTTCGGTTTGGGCGTGTCTGGCATGACCAACCCCAGCAAGGCGCCGTGAGTCGAAGCGTTCGCAACGCTTGGCAAACGAGTTCTCAAACGAGGGCAGCCTCTCAACGAGTTCTCAAACATGTCAAACTGTGTTCTCGATTCGGCAGGTTTCTTTTGGATGGTTCTGGCGCATTTGGGAGTGAAGTACTAGTGGAGTCGAGTAGCATTCCTTTCGCTGATTGCCACACTCACAGGGGGTCGTAGATGGCATGTGCGTGACTTGCCTTGTGATCCAGGTGATGAACTTCTTGGACTTCGGAGGCTACTGGGATCCTTCCTTGGCCTTCGTCATGGGCTGTGGCATTTGCGTGGCTTGGATGAGTGAGGATGGCTGGGTAGCCTCATGCTGTCATGAACTTCGAAGTCCATACCGGGTACAAAAGTTTGTCTACGGGTCAGTCAACCGTTGCCCGCTTTTGGGTGTCGGTGAGAAGATCAGGAGATATGCAACTCAGGCTAGCCCGCACGGTTCGGTTCCCTCGGATTCACGGCTGAGGTCAGTGGTCCTGCGTTCATCCTCGCCGAGCAACTGGGCAAGGCGGGGCCGCACTCAGCGTTGGCTCATTGAAGCTCAGCGTTGGCTCACGGTTCTCATCATGTCAACACTCTGTCAATACGATGTTTATCTTTGTCCATCTTTGGGGGGAGGGTGCAACATATCATATCGTTTTGCTTGGATTTATGGAAGGGGTCGGGGTTGGGAATGCTATTGGTCGGAGTGTGTGGTTGCAGAATGACCAGATCGGCGAGTTTTGGTTCGGAGGATTTGGTAGCTAAAGTAGAGGGCCGAACATTCGTGCGGTTGCAAAGCAAACAGTAGGTTTACCGGATATGGATAACTAGGAGATATAAATAGATTGACAGTCCAAGAAGCGGTTCGGAACCCCATGAGGTTTAAATGCTCTGATCTCGTTCTTCACGAGGTCACGAAGCCCTTGATTGAGGGCTGCAAGTTCGAGAACCCGCCGAAGAAGGGGAACTATGTGCCCCTGGTGATCGGCCTCCTGGTCCTGATGATCTGTGTGGGGGACCGCGTGAGATTCGCGGATGTATTCGGAGAGCTGGAGACACATTGGACACCTTCCTTGTCGTTTGGTAGTTGTGGTGCAAAACTGTTGCCCCAGCCAGTCAGTTCTTATTGCAACAATAGTATACAATGGTAGTAAACACAGATTTGCTGTCAACTTCAATCTTCAAGCTTTCCAACGGCTGAGTGGCAAAGGTTTCTGTTCAGGTGGAGCCAAAGACTCATTCTGTGGATTGCATAGATATAGTGTGCAAACGGAGTTTGGAGTTTCTAATTGAATCGGGTGTGATTGATTTAAGTACATTTCTAGTGTGGGAAATTCATAGTGATATGCATAGTGTTGGGTTCTATTTCGCTTTCAGAGAGAAAAAGAGTTAAATCAGGGTGAAGAGGACCTCAGCTGAGTCACATCGTTTGGATGTTAGTTGCCTTCGCCTTGGGTTGCTGTTGGAACTTGTTTGTGTTTTGCTTTTTGCTGTCTTAGCATGTCTTACTTGTATCTTCCTGCTTGTATTGCTTCTGACAATCACTTCGTTGATTGTTTGTTCCTCAGTGCTTCTTTGCTTCTCCTCCCCTTGCCAGTAGGGATTTTTCTACTAAACCCAAAAATGATAGATGCCCAACAGGCCCGACTTTCCCGCAAAAGCCTTCTGGTTGTGCCAAATGTCTTGGACGGACCACAAAGCAACAATCAATCCGCAGTGATACTGGCTAGGAAGAAAACTCACCGTTCTGCTCCAGCACAAGGAACAAGGGAACCAACATCTAGGGCCTTGGCTCGTGATCGTATGGACCTACCAAGGTGCCAGCTTCTTCGGGCTGGGCTGGGGTCTTTGCGGCCTTTGCCCAGGCCCAGCGCTGGCCGCACTCATCCCGCAGCTTGGGAGTGCGTTTTCGAATCGGAAGACGGTCAAAGCCAGAGTCGGTGTGAGTTCTTTGGTGTACGTTGTTGAGCCGTTGACCTTAAAACAATGTTTATTACGCTGAAAAGTTAACTCTACCAATCTTCGAAGCTCATCCTCGTGGTAACTGGACTCGATTCCCAGATAAGTGCTTGATTTACCTATGTCAACTTAGTAGAATGATTTGTTTTCAGCTTCAGATTATTTGGAGGTCTATGGTTCTACCAATAGTACCTGAATGTCTCCAACTGCAAAACTTCAGCTTGATTTTATCCGAGAAGCTTTTCCAGCACCATACCTAGGAACGGGAAACTTTCTAGTACATAAAAGTTATCCTTTGTATTCTGAAACGCAGTATCAAAGACCGTTGACAAACTGCTTTTGCGGATGAAAAAGAGCTCTCAACACCTGAGGAAGATTGTGACGGGCGTTTGGCACAGCTGGGAGCCCGACTTCGGCATGGCGGCCGCTGCGCTACTGATCGCCATCACATGGCTGGTCACTGACCGAGTAGTGGTGCCCCTTGGCAGGAGACGGTGGGGGTATGTGGGGGTGGAGGAGTAAGGTGAGTAAGGGCAAAAGGGGGCTGGAGAGGAAAGCAACAAGGTTTAGCATTTTGGTTTATTTAACTTTTGTGAAGGGCTATAGTCTATAGTCTATAGTTTGTGAAGAGATCATGATGATGAGTTTGCAGCAACAAGCAGTGACCATCTCTCAAATGCCTTTCCCTCAAGTCTCAACGACTCTTGGACATGTTTTTGCTCATAAACGCCTGCACCCAGTGTACCAGATGAAATTCTCCTAAATCTAGGTCTTGTGGTGAATTTGAAGGAGATGGGAAGAATGGATGTTTAATGATATGTGTGTTGAAAAATATGTGGAATGGACAATGTAGTAAAATTCCGGCAGGCAACAGGTCCCCTCAAGTCAGTTCAGTTTCTGACAGAGTTAGAATAAAAACAGACCGCCGAGTGATTGAGTTGCCCACCTCGACTGATGTTGCAGTGGCGCAGAATGAAGGGTACTGAACAAGCTGCATTCAGGAATTTGAGTCATCGAACAAGTGCAACAGAGTGTAGCGGTGCAGCGTGTGTCGGCCAACCCTTTGGTTTGTCCCTTTTGGGATGCGTCTTTGGGTGCTACACCACCACAAAACTACTACTGAAAGCACGACTATATGACCTGTTGCTGGAGGGATTTTGCTTGTCCTCCAAGAATGGATGAGGATTTTTGAATGGATGAGGGGTTTAGAATTTAGGGTTTAGGGTTTGCTGCTCTCAAATTTCCGTTTGCTCCTTGGAGACAAAAGATTGGGAAATGCACCGTTTCTTTGAGAAGCCAAATTTGCCTTTGGTGTGTTCGTTTGGGCTTCGACAATTGAAGGGAATGGTGGGATGTTTTGGAGGTCTTGCTTTGTTCCGGGTCCCAGCTGCCTCCAAGCAATCTTAGATGCAAACAGATCGCGCCAACTTCTATGACTACGATTTTTACGAAAGGTCCCCTGATGAGGTATGTAGAATCGAGAACACCTCCACCCAGCGAGAAGGAGTAAAGGTGGCCCGGCCAAGGTGCCAAGGGCAGTAGCCATTGGCGCATGTAACTGCCAATGCAATTTACCATCCTCAAAATATACAGAAGATACTGTAGATCAGCTGGTAAGGGATTGCCAGGTTGCCGATGAAAAGCCCTACCACTTGGGGATTCTTGCAATTTCATGTCAGATTGGATGGAATTTGAAAACGGACCTTTGGTGCCGGTTGTCACTATCTGAGGAAGCATTCACAGCAATAAACCACTATATAGTTACAATGCATTCATTCTAAGCCGCGCAGACCTCGCCAAAAGGGAAGTTGTGAAATGGGGCAGGTTTCAGGGGTCTCAGCACCGTTCCCCAAAGCTCCTCTCACCACGTGGGTGAGTTTGTTATGAGCGGAGGAGCAGCTCAGAAGCACAGGATATGGTTGGCTGCATCCAAGGCCCGTAGGTGTGGACTTCTTGCTTCAAGAGAAAACATATGTGCTGGTCGCAAGCACTTTTACCTGCCTGTGGGAAGGACCTGGAACCCTTGTTACTTCAGCATCATAAAACTCATTTAGATATGGCAGTAAATGCTGATCCCTCAGGTGTCCAATTGGTCAGTTTTGGGGTGAACCAGGTTGAGCGGATTTGGAGGAGCTCGAACAAATAATGGATCCAGTAATGGGTTCTTGGGCTCGCACACCTGGTGGGGTGCTCCGACACAGCCTGACAGCCTCAGTCTCCTTTTTCCTCCAATAGAGAGCTTTTTCGTTCGCACGTTCCGAGGTACCTGACTACTGTGACTCAGAAGCAGGGCGAGGCCTCTGCGGAGACTGAGAAGCAGATTTCAGGGACCGTCCCTTGGCCTCGGTTTCCTGTCCATCCAAAGAACCCCTGCCAAGAACTGGTGACGCACGAATGGTTCAGCAGGTAGTCGAACAGGCATGCTGAAACTTACCATGTTGTCGTATGTTTGCGCATGTGTCCCAAGTCTCTTTGTTGACTACATACTTCTTCGGGCATCGCCCAGGAAACAAACATGTCAGAGGGCTTTGTGGGGCTCAGTATTTTGTCGCTTCGAGTCCTTCTGGGAAGCGAAGAGAAGCGAGAATGAGTGAAATGGCCTGCCAAACGAAGTGGAATGGGCCCTGTCAGGTCTAGGATGGCGGCTTTCATCCACCCGAGAGCTGACGAAAGCTGACAGCCGTGGGGGGGGGGCGCTCTGACAATGATAGGCTTCCCAGTTTTCCTCTTTGCAGAAGCCTTCGGTCGTCCTAAGTGGGCATCATCGAAGCGTCGTAGAGATCACTCAGGTCTTCAGAGTAAGGAGCTCCAAACTCCCGACTAAGATCACTCAGGTCGAATTGGAAAGAAGTTGCTGTGTTTTCTTTAGGCAGTTTGGGGTCCCTTACAGACACGTATGATATACAAAGCAAATGTTTAGCTTGCTCTTGCCATTGTGCGAGTAGCAAGACGTCCCTTGACCTGTGCGCGGCCCGCAAGATGCGTGCTCCGCCGTTGGACGGTTCCGGAGGATGCCCTTGCAGGGCCTTTCCGGATCGTCCGCCAGGTTGGGCATTTTGACGTCCCCCCTTCCGACCCGTTCGGCAAAGCGTGGAGCAAAAAGTGATCCGAAGATGAGGAGGATATGATGCGCTTCCAGTTCTAAATATAAATATACAAATATATTTTTTTAATAATCATATAGCGGCTAGCTGTCATGTGTACGCAAATGGGCAAGCTTAGATCAGTGGGTTTGTTGGAGCCATGAGGCTGGTTGGTCGCACTTTGGGATTTGCAGTTGGTCCATGTTGTTTCTCATTTGATGTTTGCCACATACACGTGCTTTGGATGTGTTTTTTTACACCACCATGTACAGTGAATTTGTCAGGCCCACGGCAGAACAGAAGAGTCATTGGGAATCATTCCTGATTTCCCTGCCCATGCTCATCGAAGAAAGATCTTCCAAAATCTAGCGGCGAGTAAGCAAGGTGCAACCTGCCAACTGATTGAAATCCGCATTAAGGGCCAGAACTGACCAAAACCAGAGAACCCTGTAAATTAGGAACAAAGGTCGCATTCTTGATGCCGTGACTTGCACTTGCGCCTGCCATTGCGGAAAGGTTAGGCCCACAAAAGCCAGAGAGCAGCTGTTTGCAGCTCCTGGCGAAACAACACTTTGTTCCACTGCAACCTGTAGGTCTTGGCCCTTGACGACCAGCTGACCATTGTGTGCTGAGGATAGCTCAAAAAGGTCGCGAGACTCGCACCCTTCACAGACCTCCTTGAGGTTTTGAGGAGTTTGGGGAAGTTGAGGCTGGCAAAAGGTAAAGTTACCTGCAGAGTCAGGTCCAGTTTGTGATTTTTCCTTTTTGTTGAATCTAGGAAAGAACAAGTTAAGAGCATTTCCAAGCGTGACAGGAGCAGCTTTGAAATTTGGTGCTTTCTGAGAATTTTGTCGTTTGTTTCTGTCAGGCCGTCACAAGTATTATCTAGACTTGCCCTTGTGGCTGGAGCTACGCAGTGGCATTTGTCACGAACATACATCCGTGATTAGCAGATGCTTTAGCCTTCTGGCTCTTGGGTTTGCAAGCTCGAAGTCTGGCGCAGAGCATGCAACTAGGAAAGCCATCACCTTTGCCTACCAATTTGATGGATACCCCGATGGTGGAAATTCAGCTCCCATACGCCCCACTAATCTTTTCAAGAGGCCAAACCCATGTTCCCTGCCGGCAACCCGGCTGGTTGATTGGTGCACTCCCTATGTGTGAGTCTGAGGCAAAGTGGGCCGAGAATCATGAAGCGCTCTTCAATTATACAGGTTGATGAGCCTTATTGAAGACTGACACCTGATCAATATTCTGAACAACAATAATTTAGGACTAGGATGGTGCTAGGGCATTAGGAGATGACTTTTGGGCGCTACAAGGTTTTCTGTGACAATTGCAAAACATGAAGGAATCCCCTGCAAAGCTTGGCGACATCTCCTGAAGTTCCGTAATACAAGTGCAGATAGTCCACTTTGTTTAGGATTTCAGACCCGAACATATCTCAAGATCTCCATAATTTGATTGAGAGATGGCATCCTTTCGTGCATCCCTAGAGGCACGATCATTCATGATTTGGATGGGATGCTGTTTGATTTGTGGTTGGGTTTGGCTCCGCCTTGAGTTGAGTCACAAAAGGGACGCTTTGCCAAATTGGTGGTCAAGTCATCCTGAGATGCTGTTTTCCGAAGGGTGAGCGGTCCACACCTGGTGTAATTAAATGTAATGTGCACATTGCACATTGTATGCTCTTAGTTCCTTTGCCCCTTTGTTTCTATATATCAGATATATAATATATACATAATTTTTTGCATATACAAATGTACATTTACCACTAACCCGCTAAGCGGTAAACTCTTGGCAGGGTCCCAATTCCTGCCCTGAACGGCCCTGTATATACCTTCCAAAACGAATGTCCATTGCAAGGTGGTTGGGGTGCGGGGGATTGCTGGTGGCAAGACGATGGGTTTATCATAGGCGTGTTGTAAGTAGCAATGACTGTGTGGCTATGCGGGATGCTTAGTGGAACTGACGGATGTACGTTTGATGTTGTTCGCAGACTGCTGCGCACGGACGTATGGAACGAAGTATTTAAGTGGATGTTGCTTTGTGTGAATTCTGTGAACAGAGCCGTACAACACATTCACATGGAACATGACCATGAGGTTGGAGCTTTTTACATGGAAGTTCCATGAAGTTCCAATGGTTTGAGTTGCTCATGACAACCCCACGTGGCTTGTGTAAACATTGCCCCTTTGGTGTCGGCTGGGCTCCTATGAGCACTTAAGAGCTTGTACAAGTTTACTCTGATTTCTGCCAGCAGAATAGTCGGTGGAAGTTCAATTGTTAAATCCACCTTGTTACCAGATGTTGCCACGTCCCTGTATCTGCAGTTTGAAAGATGCTGTGAACCTACTGTAAGTAATTTTACATAGTATGTTGCAAATTGGTTTTCCGTGCTTAAGGGGCTGAACTGACCCACATCCACGCAAGTGTCTGAAGGTGGTCGAAGAATTTGCGAAGTGGACCCAACAGGTGATCCGACTGTACTCTGGCGAGGTGCCAATCGGTGCACATGCCATTCTCGCAGGAGAGATCCCTCAGTGGCGGCAGCAGGGGGCACTCAGACTCTGGTCGTGGTCTAGGCCCGTATGAGTGGCTTCTCCACAAATCAGCATTTCATACCGATCTAGTGGAAATCAAGAGGTGTTTGAGCGGGCCGTGTTGTGAAAAACTGAACCTTCGTGACAACTGGAATTCTGCAGATTCCCACAATTGTATATTTGAGCCCGAGACTTCGATTTTTGATGGGATCTCCTGTAGTTTCGACTCGGTGATGTATACATATATGTATATATGAATACCATTTGATCCCTACCTTCAGAGCACGGATCTTCAAAAAAGCATGTCGAACCAAGTCCTCAGATACAACGTGCGGAAATCCGAGAAACCCAGAACCAATGTACAAACAGACATGTGCAGACTCCTGAGAATCCTTGTTTAAGGCAAAATACTTACACATAGGAACAAGAAGCTACTAGGAGCAAAGGGCATCGCTACTAGGAGCAAGGATGCTACTAGGGGCTCCGCCTTACTACTAGTAGCAAGAAGCTATTAGAAACAAGAATTGATCAAAGCTCGAAGCATCTCCACTCCCCGAGAACGGAACGGTCCACGTCCGTTCGGAACGACCCACAGGTCCACGCCGCTCGTTGGCCTCTGCGGGCCGAAGGGCGATGCAAGACGAGAGTCGGGATACCTATGGAAACCTGATATCGCGAGTTTCAAGACCTGATGAAACTATCATAAACCACCTAATTATATATATATATACATATGTAATAATAAACCACAAACCACCTGTGTTTGTATTATGCTTAGACATTGGAACTTGGGATTTTCAGAATGATTTCTGAAGGCCCTGCAAAGCAGTTGAATAACCCTCGGCTTGTGAGTGTTGTACATAATTTTGTTCTTCTCAAAAAGGTGGCAGTGGTGACTCGTTTACGATCGATATCTAGTGACACATCAACCTGATCGAACTAGTACATGTTCTCGCTTTTTCATGCTGTTCTCACCTGGACCATCCAAGGTGCCTTGGAGTTGGATTTCTCCCTGGAGGAGATGGACCCCTCCTTGCAAGATGGTGTGTTCCTTGTGTTTCGGGAGCCGATCTAGGTCTCTACTGGACTTCGTGGATGGCAAAATCTTGGGAATGCTTGCCTTAGAAGCACCGTCCAAGAAAGAACCAGGGATCCTGCTTCCAAGCTTGTTGACGTGGGATCATTGTTCAAATAGAGGGACACTTGATCCCCTGAGGTCCATTAGAAAGTTTCAAAGAGAGGCAGATACAAGATGATACAATTACACGGCTGAAACATGCCTCCCTGACATAGTCACATTTGGTGCTTTCAGATACCAGAGTCACCGGAGTTTTGATACTTGACATTACTTGGCCACCCTCAATTTCGATTACGGATGGTTATGGCTTATGGAGCCCAGAGTCGACCCCTTGTCACTTTTCCTCCCTCAGGTCATCGAGTTGCGTATGACCGAGAGGTGCCCTTTGAGCTCCGAGTGCAGGTGCGGCTACCGAGCTACCGACCCAGACCGACAGATTGCGTTGTGTTGGAAGCATTCGTCGGATGCAGTTTGGGAGTGGTGTAGATGGAGGTGTGAGGTGTGCCATGTTGTGCCATGTGCCTACTTTACTTGAAGGCACCTTCCTGTGGGCCTCTCGATCAACTGTTCTCGTGTTTGGGATTCCGACCAGAAACATTCAGCTGGAGTGCACGAAGCTGCCCTTGGCTTTTCCTGCAGGACGTCGAGTCGCGGCCACAGGACAAGCGAGTTTGCTGCTTTGTCAGCTTCCAATCCTTCCAACTCCGGATGCATTTAGAGGACGCAAAAATATGGTTGATTATCACCAGCAAACTCCCTTCTTCACTGTTTAAGGACGAAGAACTGTTCTGTGAGCCTGACTTGTAGGTCAGAAGTGGTGAATGCCTTTGGCAAATGGCAAAAGGATTGTGGACCGGCTGAAGCCCCTGTCTTTTGATCCAATGTCATTAGACAAAGACATGGCATGCTACTCGTAGCCCATGCTAGGCTTGA